ACTCCTTTCCTCCGAGGTGTACTCCCCCCCCCAAAACCCGACCCAAAAAAAAAAAAAAAAAAAAAAAACAGAAGAAGAAAAGGTCCCAATACTATCCGGAACTCAGTTCTAGCAAGACCTATAGCAAACTGTGTCAGATGAGTATGTACCATGTAGGACTCTTACTATCAATCAGGGGAATGGTGAATGTAATTGTCATGGCAATTATTTGAAGACTGGATTTCTGGCCAAGTATAGCTCGAATTCACCATGGGAATGCCTCTCTCATAATATTAAAATTGATACACAAATGCGATTCTGCATGAGCAAGCAATAATGCTGACAGATTTCAGGAATCCAAGTTTAAAACATGGCAATCTCTCAGCAAATCAAACACAACCACACTAGCAGAAGCCAGTAAGTTGAAGTATGGTCTCAATATTAAAGGGGAGAATGCGTTCATCAGTCATCGCTGAACTTGAAGTCTGCATCCTTAATCATCACACCTCTCACGCAAAGAATGAAAATGTTCTTGAAATGAAATCCCAAACTTAAAGCATGCTGTCACTTCAAGAATCTGGAAGCTATATGCTCAGCAATAGCCATACTTGCAGTTAGGCCAGGGGACTCAATTCCAAAGAGGTTAACAAGACCAGGCACCCCATGGATATCCTCTCCCTGCTTGAAAAACGAAAAATTCATAATCCATAATCCAGCATGCACTCTGCCCTCAAACTAACGAGAATTTAAAGATGCCTGTGAAATCTGAAACTATAAAGGGGTAACAAAAGAAAATATGACATGTTGCTTGACTCAATGTTGCTCATGAACTTAGCAAACAAATCAGTTAGACATGTTCGTGATCATGTGAAGCTGAGTTCAAGTCTTCTAATCTAAAACAGGATTCAACTTCTTAGGAGTTAAAATCATGTTAGCCAGCTGTATGAGAATGTGCTCTGACAAGGAAATGATGATTCACAAGAGAAACGAGAGGTGCTCAAATTACCTGTATTACAAAGTCGATAGGAGACTGTTGAGGACCAGAAACTTTCGGTCGAATCCCTGAGTAGCCTGGCTGCAGTGATCCATCCTTTAGATTTGGATAGTACTTTCTTATCTCTGGGTAGAATCTCTCTGCACGACTGGCACTTACAGAATAATCATACCTGGAATGAAAAAAATACAATAACTAAATTCTATACACAGAAGATGCAAGATTCAAAAGAGAAAAAAAAGCTTCTGCGTACTTATTGTCCATCCGCAGCACCATTGGCATGAAGTTCATTCTATTTGTTAACCAGTTTAAACATTTCATTTGAAAGTTAAAATGCATCTCTTATAAGCAATTAAATTCAAGTTCAAAGGAAAAATGCTCTGCTCAAATGCCTAGGAGAACAAAAGGGAATGATTTAAGGAAACAAATAAAACAGAGTTCTGTGGCTCAAAACAAGTAAATTAACATGCGTAGCATAGGTATGTGCTCAAGTATGTCAGTGTGTTACATGAAGGAACAATACTGCTACGGTTTGAGAGAAAATCACTCCTCATGCCGGCTATTAAATCGATACAAGACGATTTGTGAAGCATTCAGAAGAATTTAACAAACACAGTTTCCTATAATTCGTATTAATGCTACAGAAGAAGAATTCAAAAGGAAGAATCTTCCTTTAAATTCTCTCCTTCACAGGAGCATGCAATTAAGTTACTGATGTTAATAAATAGGCTGCTCAGCTATTGAAAAAGGCTCTAAATCATGTAGAGAAAGAACAATGGACTAAAGAAAGGTTACTTATTTAGAAAGCTTGATACATCATCTATGCCATCAATCCATTCAACATCTGGGCCAAACTTGAGTTGGCCATCCAAATCCAGAGTAACATGCACCCCAAGGCCACCATCCTCAGGTATAGGATATATCAAATGTTCAAAAGGAGGAACCTTTGTACTTGATAAGGTGAAGTAGCAACCACGAGCAAAGAACCCTGGAGGAATTATACCATTATTTAGGCCATGAAATCTCTTTGCAAGGGCCAGGGAACTCAATCCTGCAGAATTCACTACAAGCTTAGGAACAAGTACAAGCTCTGGATGCAATGGATAGTCTCCATTCCAATTCTCAAGATCTTTGCTTTCAACAATATAGAGGTGCAGGCAATTCCCTTCCAGATGGCCACCGATGACTGTAGAGTTATAAGAGAAAGTTGTTCCATTATTTTCAGCTTCTCCCTGGATTCATATTGGGTTGATATCCCTGTCAATAAGCAACCACGACTCACAAAGTATATACGATATTACCATACTTCTATTTTAGAATGTCACATAGAAAGATTCGACACATACCACTAAAGATAGCATTAGTGAATGAGAATCAACAATTCCAGAAACAGGTGATAGCAATGCTTTCTTGCATTGCAATTCAGGTTCCATTTTCATGGCTTCAAAACCCTCCAACATCTTTAAATTATCAACCCCATTTTGAGTTCCACGATTCATTAACTCATTTAACTTTGAAATCTCCAATGGCCCAGTTGCAACTATTAGCTTCCCTATCTGTTTACATGGCACCCCATGTTCGTAGCAATATCTGTACAGCAATTCTCTTCCCCTCACACAAAATAAAGCCTGTCCAAAAGTAAGAAAATCCATCTTGATTTCCCTCAAACACAACACTGCATAGCCATTAAAACAACTATATACAATTAGCAATGGTCTTTTCCTATAAAAGAATCTAAACTCATTTCCCTTTTATCCTGACACATGCAAAATGCGTCCTTCACATGCAAATCAATTATCAGTTCAGCAACCATCAATGATATTTGAGCAAATTATAACTTTGTCAACAAAATTAAGGCTATCCCCTCTAGTGTTTAAAATTACATCTTAATTCCTTGACCAACTATGACTACCAACTTGTTTGTAGTTTTTTTTTTTTTGGTTTATCAGAAGGTCAAAGGACCTTAAGCTATACAAATGGAGCAGTTCTCAATTCTCATATAACTAGAAGAAACCGCAATTACTTCGATCAGAACCTTCTTCACTCAAGGAAATTACTGACTACTATCCAATTATATGCTCAGGACCTAAGCAATGGATGGCCAAATGAAGGGCTAAATTATAAACAAATATGAAAACATAGGAATGAAATATAGGGTTTTTTGACAGGGGGGTTCGCTTATTGATAACTTGAAAATCCAAGAACTAAGTTATAATCTACTCATGGTATTTTAATAAGTAAAGAGATGGGGTGTGACCTTGAGAGAATCAGGAGGGTAGTAGATGCCAGCATGAATGACTTCACTGTTGCGAGAACTGGTGCCAGTGCCAAAAGTGGAGGCAGATTCAAGGACCAAAACCTCTCTGCCTTTGGAAGCAAGCTCTCTAGCTATTACTATCCCCACCACTCCTGCTCCTATAACCACACAGTCTAGTTTCTCTGTTGGGGCATCTTCTTTCTTGATTTGGGTGCTCAAATTCTTGATTGCTTGAGCCTTTGAGATTGTTGCTGTTCTCTTTAAGCTTTGAAGTGTTTGCCTCAACCGCGGCAGCATCTTTCTTTCTTGGCCTTCTCTTCGAAAACGAAAGTTCTCCGTTCGTGTGATGTGCCTGCCATATGTTATTAGCAAATAGCAATTTTATATGCTCAAGATCACTTTTTGTTAGGAGAGATGTATAAAAAAATAAAAAGTATAAAAATATTTTTAATTGTTAAAGATAAATATAAAAATAATTTTAAAATGAATATATACTTTAAAAAAAAACGGAAATGAAAGAAGACAATGATGAATTTACTTGTAAATTATATATATTTAATTGCAAGATTTAGAACGGTTTAATACTTGGAAATCCTAAACTCCTTTTCTTATAAAAACAAAAAAGGTAAATCCAATCTCCAAGGGCCTTGCTCATCATCAAGGCAAGGCACGTACAGAAACTCCAATCAAAATGCTCTGCTGATGTCTTGGTGGATCTTTACCTCGGAGTGGCTCTAAAAACATGTGGATTTTTTTTTCCTTAAATGGAACCAAATGAAATCTTCTAAAAGTAGGAACAAAAAAAAAAAAAAAATCTTCGATGCATCACAGCAGGGGGCCGCCATTCAGACAAGAAGCGTGGGATAGTCCACATTGTACAGTAAAATCTGGATAGCTTCTGAGAAGGAATTGCATGAAGTGAGCGTGTTTAAAAATATATTAAGATAATATATTTTTTATTTTTAAAAATATACTTACTCAACATTAAAAATCATCTTGCATCTGTATTTGTTGAAGTCATGTTTTTTATATAATATTTTCTTGCTGTTTGTGAAGGTCTTGACCATTCCCTTGCTATCTAGTTACCCTTTTCTAGCTATGCTGAATGGCCTTGCCCTCATGCTGCTGATTAACTGCGCTTCCATCCTGAAGAACGTACTCGCTGTAAGTGCCTGTGTTTGTGCCATTAACATATTGATTTTAGAGTGCAAATTATACCATATTGTTCGAATGGTTGCTTAAAAGCTTTCAAATTTTTTCACCTCCATTTCCTTTTGACTTGTGTAGGTATCAATCACAACAGGATTGTTCCTTCTGCAAAATAGATCAGTGGTAACTTTACCCTTCTTTTGGCTCTATGTTTCTCTCTTTATCTTGTATCTTAGCAACAGGTTATGGGTAAACAACGGCATTTTGTAAAATGCATTGCTTGAACTTAATGTCAGACACAACAACAAAGAGGTGCTGCAAATGGAATTTCGATGTCTGCCATGTCCCTTTTCAAAGCAATTGGTCCAGCTGCTGGGGGTTCTCTGTAAGTATCATCTCGAGCCTCGATTGAATGAATTGGCTAGTTTCGTTACTGTGAGATTCAAATTGTTGGTGCACTATATTAATCTAATCCTAGAAGCTATGAAACATGTTTGAAGAGCTTTACATTTCATGCACAAAAAATGAGCTGAACATGTCCCTTGTCTTACGGCTGAATTCCTACATAAGACCATCTTGCATTACATCAAACATGTTTGCACTGACATTTTAAAGTGTCAATGGAATGCATCCAAGGTGCCTTGCTAGCCTAAAAAAAACTTCAGTACATTGAATCAATGCACAACACACTGAGGACTCTTCACATTCTTTATGGATCCATCCAAACATTCAAGAACTTCTTGAATATTTTGAGTCAACAGGAAAAATGCTTGACGAGAGTCTATACTGCATAGACAATAAGATGTTACACTCTATGTGGATTTCATTGCATAATTAAGTGTGGATCATAAGCCTTTCTACTAAATTATATGTTGTGCTTTAAACATACCCAGCAGTATTTCACAACAGTTGACCGTGCTTTCTATATTTACAGCTTCTCTTGGGCACAAAAGCGTCAGGATGCCTTCTTTTTTCCAGGTATAGAGCTTCTTAAATGCCATTTCCCATAAGTTAGAAGTTATGCAGGCCCTATAAAGAATTCTCAGACTAGTTTTTCAGATGACAGCCAAGGGCAAGAACAATTGTTCAGACCACCTAATTGGAATTTATAGATTGGTAATAAATATGACTGCCCTTAATACAGAAACAGCCTCCTAGGCCTAGTCAGGGAAGTTTGAACATATATATGATTCCCTAAAATTGTGATTGTTGAAGCCTGGTTACATAAGATGGAAGCTTCTGAATGATCCTTTGCAATGCAGGTGATCAAATGATCTTCTTCCTCCTTAACATGATCGAGGTCATCGGACTGCTCTTGACCTTCAAACCATTTCTAGCCCTTCCTGATGACAACATTTCCTAGTTCAATTTCAAAGGTTCACATCAACCAACAGAGGCTAAAAAACCATGAAGATTGATTCCAGATTCTTTCCCATAGCTAGCCAAATTCTTCAACTTCAGCCGACCCTCAAGTGTATCACCTTATGTAGGATTTTTGTACCGTTCCCACCTGTAATTAACCTGAAAACCACAGAAGAGGTGCCTTTATGCATATTTTCTTCTGGCATGGTAAGGATGAAGGACTAGCAACTTCCATCTCTACCAGCCCTTGTATTGATTGAATTTGTCTGCATGAGATGGATTGTATATTTATTATTTCCCCGTCTCTTCTATCTCGGCTTCAATCTCGTGACAGTAATCAAATGTCATCATAACTCTTATGATATCAACAGCTAGTAACTTCTTCTTTATGCAGATATATGACATCTGCTCTAGTTTCTTCTCTCATTTTCATACTTTGGTGGGCTTGTAAGAGATCTACTTCTAGTCTCACATGATTATTTGATTAAAAAAAATATATCATCCCGCTGGTTACATAAGCCAGGACAATGAACTGGCCTCAAGAGAAACACCTGCTGGACATCCTGTCCCATTCATAATTACAAAATGGATTGAAGATCCGCGTCACATCTCACAAGGGCAGCTTGAACAAGATGTAATGTCTAGTGTGATATAGTCCTGCAACTTCTTGTAGATTTTGATTTAGTCCAGGCAGTAAAGTATTTACAAAATCATCCCCAAAGTTTTTAATTGAAGGAACATTAGATGTTAGCTCTGTTAAGTCTCGGGATGCAGTTTTAAATGGATCGCACTCATTTCATTTTAGCCTAGCAGGGACTAAGGTGGGCTCCAAGTTAGATTGTAAGGACTAAATCATATTATCTAAAAACAATTGTATGTAGTTGGCGGGTCCTGCCGAAAAAGAACAAGCTAAACATTATTTTTTAAAAAAAAAATCTCTTACTTCTAACAAGGATCAGCATCTTCGAAAGAGAAAATTAAAAATAGTATGAAAATAAATTATTTTTTTTAAAAATGATGATTTGAATTTAAATTTGTAGTGGAACATTAAAAATAGTATGAAAATAATTTTTTTTTTTTTTAAATGATGATTTGAATTTAAATTTGTAGTGAAGAGTTTGACGTAAAAAGAGGAGGCTAGGAAGGTTGAACGAGACTAGTTTTTTATTGTAAGATTAATATAAAAAAAAAAATGAACTGAGTTAGATAATAAAATATTAAAAAAAAACATAAATCTAATTTGTTATGTTTAAAAACAGTATAGTTATGCTATCAAATAAAGGAAATGCAGAGATAAACAGAGAAAAAAAACTCAAACATGGCAAACCCTAGAAGGAATTCATACTCAAACAACACAGAGAACTCATTTCAGCTACAAAACCTTTCAAGATTATCATCTATAAAGCACTTTTTGAAAAAGCCACTTGCTTTCCCTTTTTTGCTCTCTATCTTTCTCCTACTCGCATGGATTTCTCTCAGACTCCAACACTCTTCTTCAAGTTTTTCTTCTACCAATCTCCATGAGAGAAAATGGAGCCAAGAGGAGGATGAGAAGGCTAATCTGATCAGATTTAAATCTGGGTTCTTAAGTTCTAAAGATAAGCGTGGCTGGTTACTTGACCCTGTGTCTATTGCTCTTGAATATGGCATTAAAGGTTACACCTTGGGTCTTTTTAGTGTTACATGATTCACTAAGAATAATGGGTTTTGATTGTTTAGAACGATTTCTTTGTTTAATATCAAAATCAGCTGTTTGCTGGTTGATAGTCTAATCTTAGTCCAATTTGATAATGTTAAATGCTGCATAAGATTGATGTTGGTGGGGTTTATTTAAAGTAATTTATTTTTGTGTTACTTTGTTGTTGAAAGAGGAGAATTTTGTTGCTGCTGTTGTTGTACAGGTGGAGCTGTGTCTTGTTTTTCTATTCATGTTGGTGAAATTAGACCTGGTGGTGTAAGGGGAAATCACAGGCACCATACTTGCAATGAGACATTTGTCATTTGGGGTGCCAAAACATTATTTAGGGTATGGTGTCTCTTATCTACAATGTTATCTGATTTATGGATGTTGCTGATAAAATCAGCAATAAATTGTGTATTGAACTATCCATGAATGGTAAGCTATGAATATGTAGCGTTCAAATACTTCAAAAATCTTCCATGTTTCTTTTCAGGCTGCTTTCTTATGAAAATATAGGTGTTTGGTCATTTATTTTTATAACTAGCTGACCGTTTGCCGTCTTGAGCATGTCTTGGGGTCTCAAATGTTTTCAAATGATCGGTTAACATAAATAAAATATTCTAGAATTGTGTCTAAGATGTCTATGCAAACAATGCTGCCTTTGTCTCAGCATAAAAGAAGATTGGAATTCCATTGTTTCTGAGTCGCTTTGTTCCTTTCTACTTTCTTGTGTTGTTGCAGTCTTGTATTTGATCAGATCATTAATAGACTGCATCAGACCTTAACGGGTTTTTATTTGATGCCTTCCTTTTCAACCTTATTTGTCAAATCAATATGTGGAATTGCAGAACTCCACTGGTTCAAATACTATGTTTCTTTGCCACATGATAAACTCTAACCTGTGCTTTTACCATGTGATTCTGCACATGACGGGTGCACCCAAGTTTATTGCCTATGAGCCAGATGCTAACATGTGTGTGCTGAAGATGCATAGAACGATAAAATATCACTTTTTTTATGAAAGATCATATCTTCATACACAGCACTGATTAATTGGCATGAAAGATCTTATCTTCGTACACGGCACTGATTAATTGGCCAACTGATTGGTTTACTTCTCTATAAAAGAAGGAGAAAACAAGTTTTTGAAAAAGACTTAGCATGGATGTGAATGCTTGACTGGAGATGTCTTGGATACTGTTGATTTGTCGCTGTGTATGGTTCCCTTACTGGGTACAATTAGAAAAATCCTGCTTACTGTTGATTTCTTATTCTCACATGTATATCTTCCTTATAATTTTCTCCCAACCATTTGCAGCTGGAGAACAATCAGATAGTCGATAAAGGTTATGCCGAAGTGATCGTCGGCGTGGATGAAGTTGCTGTTGCAGCTAGCCCAAGTGGAACAGGCCATGCGATAGTAAATATGGATCGCACACACACTGCATACCTTATAGGGTGCCAAGACAGTACGATAAACTATAACAGCTCAGCTACTGATTTTAGTGTTTGGAAAGATCTCTAGAGTTGTTCTTTTCATCCATTCCCCTCTCTGCTGCTCTTCAACAAGCTGAAATGGAATGTGTTTTTGTTCTTTGTCTAGCATGTGATTACAGGCACAGTTTACATGAGAGGATGACTTATATCTACCTGTAAATATATTTGATATATTTTTCATGTCAATGGTACCATGGTCAAATACAGTTATGTGATTACATGCTGCATGATACCAGGGCATAGTTATTAGACTTGCTCCCAAGGCCTGGGTTGCTGGTTGGCCAACCCTTGTCTATCCTAATCAAAAAGTTTTAAAAAACTGGAACGGTGTGTGTTGTTATGGATAAAAATTAAAAAAAAAATCTTTTAGTTTCGGGTTACCTAGATTAACATGTGAATTACTTGAGTTTGACCAGATTAACCCTAGAAACAGGTAAAAAACAAACTTGGTTGGCAAAAACCATTATATTGGCACTCCAGCATGTTTAACCACTCTCCTTCACTAATTTTTTTTCCCGAGCTGATCGTGATGCCCATGGAACAGCTGTTGCTACATGTATCATTTTGTTGCTAGTGTAATTGCCCATTGTAAAGATGCAGTGCCTGTCTCCACGACCTCACTCATGTTACCACCATCTCCACCATTTATCACCACCGTTTCAACCCAAATTGGATGTTGAGCGGTGATATGACCCCAAACTGATTTTGTGATCCCGTAATAGCTTTAAGTTGAGGGTTTGGGTTGATTGTGGAGCGATGGTAGAGTGTGGTTTTGGTGACAGCGGTGGTGGTCGATCTATGGATAAAAATATAGGAGAAAGACCTTACAAGGCAGCCAGGGGAGGCAGTCGTGGAAGCAAACCCTATTGCCATGTCGACCATCCATACAAAATTTGAGTTTTTGACGAAGTCCGGAGCTTCTGCTACAATAATATTGTCATCAACTAACCTTCCCACGCTTGAAAGCTATGCAGTGTACAAATTAGAAATGTTGCTTGCAACAACATACAAGCAAAATATACGTGCAAGGAACTCTTTGTCAGGGCATGTATATGAAACCACAGAACATACAAGCAGCGGCACTAAAGAGAGAAGAAACTGAGATCTAGCCTTGTTTTTGCACTCTGATTGCCTGCAAAATGGATATGGGAAATAAAAGGATGGCTGTTTTGGTAGGGTGCAACTATCCAAACACTAGAAATGAGTTACATGGATGCATCAATGATGTGCTGACAATGAAGGAATTGCTTGTGAAACGGTTCGGATTTGATCTTAGAAATGTCCAGCTCTTGACTGATGCACCAGGGTCCGTGGTTCTGCCCACTGGTGCAAATATAAAGAAGGCACTTAGTCACATGATTGATCAGGCTGAAGCAGGGGATGTCCTGTTCTTCCATTATAGTGGACATGGAACGAGGATCCCATCCGTCAAATCTGGCCATCCCTTCAGGCAAGATGAGGCTATTGTGCCCTCCGATTTTAATCTCATCACTGGTACATATCCCCTCTCATTTTAGATTACTTTGGACAATCATGACAAACATGACGGTTGTGTGTTTACACAGATATGTTATGCACTTGTGATTAAGATAAGACGATTGTATCCGTAACATTATTTTGAGTACTGAAAGGTTCTTCTATCACTATTATGCAGATGTGGATTTCAGGCAATTAGTGAACCGGCTGCCAAAAGGAGCAAGCTTGACAATCCTTTCCGATTCTTGCCACAGTGGTGGCCTGATTGACAAAGAGAAGGAGCAAATAGGGCCTAAGGCAACAATCACAACCAATAATGCCAAAGTGCCTTCTCAAAGCCCTAAAGTCATCCCATTTGAGTCTATACTACAGCACCTTACATCTCTAACAAACATCAACACGTCTGATATTGGTACTCACTTGTTAGAGTTTTTTGGATCTGATGCCAGCCTTAAGTTCAGGTTACCACCACTTGAAAGGGACCAATTTGAATCAACAAATCCAGATGAGGGAATTTTACTCAGTGGGTGCCAAGCAAATGAGACTTCTGCTGATATGAGCCCAAATGAGGGTGGTGGAAAATCCTATGGAGCATTTAGCAATGCAGTACAAATGGTGTTGAAAGAACATTTAGGTCAATTGAGTAACAAACAACTTGTGATGATGGCTAGGGAGGTTTTACAGGCACAAGGATTTGAGCAACAGCATCCTTGCTTGTATTGCAGTGATCAGAATGCTGGAGCTACTTTCCTGTGGCAGTCTGAATGCTAGCTAGCACAAGTAATGAGATCATGGGCTGGTGGTTGTCTGTACTCTGATTGTCACTAGCCTTGTGTTTGCTGTAGTAGAAGTGGCATGTAATAAAGAGGTTCACGTCCCCGTGCCTCTCCTCGAAACTTTGACAAGCATTTATTCTTACATAATGTCGTGTGAACAAAAAATTGATTTGATTGACGAGCTTTAATTTGACCACTCAAAATCTTCTTCTCAACGTTGGCACCAACAATCTCATTTAACAAAGCATCAATATAGGTTTTTTACCTTGCTATGTTTTTTTTAGCTCGTGAAGCGACCTGATAAGTCTCTGGCAATACATAGGTCAGGAGAGCCATAAAACATAAATATATCAAACTAATTAGAAGGATTTAGGGAGGGTCAGACATTTATCCAACATGAGTACTGCAAGAGAATGACAAAATAAGCTAACATCGAAAACCCTTTCATCATGATACAACATTTGACAGTATCACAGTCACAAAATGCATGAATCCTCTGCAAAACATGCGATTCTCAGCTCAGGCAGTGTTGTTTTGTGGTGGTGTGTAAGGGTGGTAACTTGTATAAAAGCAAAAATATATAGCAGAGGTGTAGTAGTTAGAAGATGAGGCACGTTGCCCCGTGCTTGAGGTGGCAGAGAAGTCCTGGATGATCTTGAGAATGATGTCTCTTGCCTGCTTCATCATATTTTTTTTTTAAATAATTTTAATTTAATTTAAAATATAATTTATATTATTTTTAATATATTTTTTAAATAAAAATTGTTTTAACTTAAAATTTATATAAGCTTACACTACTTTATATTTAGTTTTTATTAAATAAATAAAAATAATAAAATTCAAACTTATAACTATTTATTCATTAAATCTTTAATACCATATTAAAGAACTATATAAAAATAATAATTTAAATTATTAAATGATATTTTAATATATAATTTATATTATTTTTTAATATATTTTTTTTATGTGCTAGTCTAAACAAAAAAGCTAGAAGAATACATATCCAAAAAGAAATAGAGCTTGAGTTAATGTTGCATAAGATCTACCTCACCATCATAAAATGTTAGTGGATGCATGAATATGCAATCTATATAAAGGATGAAGATAATTTTTTTTATTTAATTTAAATTTAAAATTAAATTATTTAAAAATTATTTTAATATAATTTAATTAACTTAATCGGTCAAATAACATCTCCATTGATTAGTAAAAAACAATTATGGATAAAATTAAAATTGATATAATAAAATCTCTTGACTAAATTTTTTACTAAATTATATGTGAGTTATCTTGGTATAATATAATTAATTTAATCAATTAAAAAAATTAGATAATGATTAAAAAAATTAATAATAAAATTGAGAAAATAAATGAACAATATGAAATAAAAAGAGGGTGAAGGGGAAAAAAAGAGTTAAATTAATTTTTTTTAAAAAAAAAAACTTTATTGTTTATATAAACAGAACCCCCCTAATGATTTCGAACTTTTTTAGCATAGAAAGTAGTATAACAACAGGATTTACATGCAGTAGAATAAACAAAATATCAAATGCTTATTAATTTTTTTATAAAAAAAAGACTCCATCAGTTTTCGACTATATTCTTACAGATATTAAAATCATGTTGTTTTTTCAACAAAAATAAAAAGAAAAATCTTGGAGTCAGACTTAACCAGAATAACTAAATTGCCAATTTAATTCACCTAATTATTAAAATCTAATCGAACCATTATTCAAAATAATTCAATAAAAACCCGGCCCAAAGGCCCCCACAAGTCGCCAGATTGTCAGCTCATTACAGCTTTAACAATTATGCTCAGAATACACATTACAATTCGGACACCTTGACTCATTGAAATCTCGTGCTGTCCCTTATGTCTTGTGCAGCAAACATTTACCTAGGTTTTTTAAGGTATTATAATAATTATTTTTAAAGATTTTTTTATTTAAAAATATATTAAAATAATATTTTTTTATTTTCAAAATTATTTTTAATATTAGTATATCATATAAAAATATATAAAATAATAATTTTAAACAAAAATAAATAAATTTTACCCCCTCTCGTTTAAAATGCAATACCAAACAGAAGGTTGCCGAGACTACGAAATAAAAAAAAAAATGAAAAAGCAACCTCACCATTTTATTTTATTTTATTTTTTCTTCTTTTCTTGAGTTCATCAGATTTTGTTAAGGCGTGGCAATCTGAAAATCCAGGGACTGTAAATAAACGAGCCCCCCACCACAGCCCTCGATCAAAAGGCCTGAGCTCTTCCAAAAGAGACTCACGTGCATGGCCTTAATCACTCGGTGGCTTTAAGTTAAGGCAAAACTCCACTTTTTTTTTTTTTTCTTGCTCAGAAGATGGCATCCCTCTCTTAACACAATCAAACAGAAAAAAACACGGATAGAGAAGAAGCTAGAGAAGCATGAAGGGACAAGATCCCTTGGTCTCGTCATCTTCCCGGCGAGAAAGGTCTCCGGAACCGGAAAAGATTCGTTCGAAGAGCATCGGATGTATGTCTGGCATTTTCCAATTCGTTTACAGATACCATAATCGCCGTAGATTCATCACTTTTGGTACGTTAATTTCTTCTTTGATTATGAGCTTTTAGATTTATTCACGAATTACCCAAGTTCAAGCTACTAGGCAGAGATAGACAATAACAGTATTTTTTCAGGGAAAAGGCATGGAAAGGATATTGTGGTTACTTCTCCAAAACCAACGACACCATCATCGCAACCTTCTTCTTCTTCTTCTCCTTCTCCGTCATCTTCTTCCACTTCACTGGAAGAAGAAAACAAAGTTCTCCAAAGACTCCCATGCGATATGGCACCAAGAAGCCCAACACTGCCAACCGGAATATTAAGGCGGTCAAGATCCCTAAACTCCCCTGAAAGTTTCCGGGCTCAACCAGCCCCGGTGGCTAGAGTACTAATGGGGTTGAGTGATATTCCACCAATGACAACCGCCGAATTGGCGTTGGCAGAGAAGAGGAGGAGGCTCCTGGGGGCATTGGAGAAATGCGATGAGGACTTGAAAGCATTAAAGAAAATAATTGATGTGGTAAAGAGCAGTAGTGTAGCTAGTACTGGTGATGACGACGATGATGAGGGAAGATCAGAGAGAGGTAATGACCTTCCATTGTTGCCGCAACCTAGTCCAGTGTCTGTGCTTGACGAGTTCACTCGTTCGGCTCTCAGTGGATTCTCCAAACGTTACAACATTAATGGTAAGTTTCTGTTCTCTTCCTTGATTACAATTTTATTATTAATTGTGTTTGTCTTTTCTTTTGGCTATATACTATATTATACCATGCGTGTAAATACCATAATTCAAACAAATATTGTTCGATTTATTTGGTTTTTGGCATGATTCTATTTAAAAACACCAAAATTCTTCATGGTTTCTTATCTTTTTATATTTATTTTTCTACTTGACCTAAAGTAGCTCACTTTTTTATAGCATGGAGATTAATTTTGTGCATTCTTTTGAACTTAGACCTGGATTAGAAATTGGATTAACCAATCCTTTTCTTTTCATAGAAATCAGAATTTTTCTTATGAAACACACTTTTTATTGGATGATTTGTCAAGAATCAGTATGTGTTTATGGTGATAAATTACAAAGAGCATGTCTTTTCTAAGGTTAATTAGAGTTATATAAAAAGAAATCTAAATTTGTTTTATTTTTGACATCTACATGTAATTAAAATCATTAAAAAATATTTAAAAGTTATTAATTTGATATTTTCTAAACTAAAAAAATAATTTTAAAAACCCAAAAAACAAACTTTTTGACATCTACATGCAATTAAAATCATTAAAAAATATTTAAAAGTTATTAATTTGATATTTTCTAAACTAAAAAAAAAATTAAAACCCAAAAAACAAACACTCTAGTACTAATCTCTCATTGTTTTTTATTAGATTAATTAGTAATCACTAGATTAAACAAATTAATGTCATGAGTATTAAAACATAGTCTACTTATTCCTTGATCTTTTTGTCTCGTTAACGTTTTCTTTTTGGTATGTATTTTAGAAAAAGGGTTAAACAAAAAGTACTTTGCGTAAACACATGCTAAAGCTAATCTCTTGTCAAATTATTTCATGAGTGGGTCTCATTGTATTGATGTTTTTGGCTTTTTTCAAAGTTTTCAAACCTAATCGAGCACTTTTTTATTAGCTTCCATTTCAAGATATGGTAGGGCACATGAGAATATATAGACATTGATGTTCTAGATTTTGCATGCCTTTCATCCATTCTTCCCAGAACAAAACCAAGTTTATTAAATTAGTGTAGTTAAAATCTCGAGTAAATCTAAAATAATATTATTTTTAAAAATTAAATTAAATTTCAGCTTTGAGACCCAACTCAATCTAGCCAAGTTCCAAGCTAGAAAATCACCAGATTAACTCGTTGGTTGGACAAAAAGGTGCTTGGTAACAGTGTACAAAACGTTCAAAATCAGTAGATTAACACAATTGGACTCATCTTTCTAAAAACGAGCATCCTCACAATACTCATTACTCATCACCTCAAATCTCTGAGATCTTCGCTGACATTAAATGAAAAATCTGTCCCTTTTAGTGCATGAATTTGCAGCTAGCTGCTAGGCAACCATGCAAACCTGTAAATCCTCACCAACTGATAAATCCTGGGTAGTTGGGAAATCAATGGGATGGTGTTAATTTACAGCAATTTGTATGAAAAAGCTCTTGGGACTCTAGGGATTCAATGCATGGTATCCCTCGAGAGGAGACACTGGTGGGTTTTCTATGGAATGCGCAAGCCCCACAGGCCATCCGTCTAGGATTCCAAGTTAACAATCATAGCACCATGTGTTGAGACTATTATTACCCTTATAGTGGGAGACACGATTCCTGCTATTTGCAATTATAATAAAACCTAATATGAACAAGTCTTGACTAACAGCTGTGGCAAGCAATGGTGAGAAAATCTGGGTGCTTTTCAGGAGTAAGAACTTGATTTTGTTCTTTCCTTAATTTGATCTATAAAAACTTGATTACACGCTCTGCCACTAATCTATAGGCAGCGGTTAAAAAATCCGCCGGCCGGCCATCCCTTGCCTCCACCCCTGTCTACAGGGGCAAGCTGCTAACAAGTTTAATAAGATAATTAAAGCAAATAATCTCAAGCTGCTAACAAGTTTGATAAGATAATTAAAGCAAATAATCTCAACGGGTCTTGAAATCATATAGTTATTAAACTCTATTGAGATTTAATCTAGTTAAAATCTCGGGTCATAGATTTATTGAATCAATTTACTAGGTTTATATAAAAATATATGAAGGTTTTGAATAATTTCTTTTAAGAAAAACCTGAAATTACATTATATTAGAAATAAAAGGAAATTCCTTGAAGATGAGCCGTTAAGTTACTAATTACCTAACTCTAAATCAATAAGTCACCGAATTAATTTGATGGGACATGTCGGTTTTAATAGCTATGATTGTAGTTAGAACTTTTTTTTTTTTTTTAATGAGAGATAATGAAGCCATTTCTAGCATATTTGGTATTGTAATTGTAATGGAAATTATTTTTTAAAATATTTTTTATTTAAAAATATATTTAAATAATTTTATTTTATTTTTTAAAATTTAATTTTGATATCTACACATAAAAAAATCTAAAACCATAAAAAAATAGTTTTAAATAAACAAAATCAAAATCCAAACATGTTCTTCATGCTCTCATGCATGACACCTTACCTACATGATCTATCTAACTGTATTTCCTGACTCCTGTATGCGCATTAAGTGAAGAGAGCATTAATATTTGTGTTGCAGAACGAGTGCCACAACAACAGGCGAAGAAGGAAGGAGGAGGAGAGGACATCAGCAGCACTGATTTCCTTGACAAAATCATGACCAAAGAAAATATGATCCATGGGAACAGCCATGAGAGTGTAGTTTCATCACCTTTATGGAGCAGCAAAGCCATGATAGAAAGTGTGAATGAGGTGTGCAGGGATACTGCCTCGGGTGAGAGAAGGGAGATTGGAAGAACAGGGCTGGCTTTGCAAGATTATATATTCAGGGACTTGATTGAAGAGATTGTAAAAGAAATGGGATTTGATTACATTTACCAACTAGGACCTCTACCATTTGAATCATGTAAGAAAAGGCTGAGTTTCTAGTGTACTTGAATATTTCTTGCATAGACCCAAAATCCACCTTCAATTTTAATTTTTTTTCTTTTTGTTGATTTGTGTTTGATTTTTATTTTAACATGCAAGATGTCTTTATTTTGTTTAGTAATACAATACAACCTATTATTTAAATTACTTTTTAAACTATTTTTTACTTGAATCAGTATTTTTAAAGTGATTTTTACAGATTTTAATACATTGATATAAAAAAATAGAAAAAAAATATTATTTTAATATATTTTTAATTAAAAGATACTTTTATAAAAAAAAATTATATCATATTACCAAACATATACTTAATATAAACTATAATTTTTATGTTTGTTTTGCATACCATATATTTGTATTGACACTCCAATTCTATTATTGCATGTGCGCAAGGCCGCGGTAATCTTCCACTACTCAAGGAAAAGGGTGTTTACCTGACAAATATAAAGAGACAAAAAATTCTTGTCTCTTAACAAGAAAATATGAACTGGAAGTCGTTATCTAATATTTTGGTAACTAGAAACCCTAACTAGTATTAGAGAAAGGATACGGAAACTATTTATGTAAAGGAAATGTATTAGCATCCAAAAACATCATATCTAAGGTAGACTGCGTTGTTTTAATATCTGATAAAATTTAAGGTTTTAGTTGCGATTTCTAGTGGTTAGTTCGTCTAAAAAGTTAAAAAAAAATTAATATTAGGAATATGTATTACGTGTAATGTCGTACCCTGGATACAAAAAGACACACAAAATAAAAATTTTGTTATTTCTAAAATTTTGGTCAAAGTTCTTGTATGGTTAATGCATGCTAAAATATATTTTTTGGTTTATGAAAAACACAATATGATTTTTTTTTAATTTTGAGATACTTAGCTATATGCAGAAAAATGTTGTTTTTTTTTCCAAATTTGTTTGTATGTTTTTTTAAAAAAACATTACAAAACCCGTGTGTTTTAATACTGGCTCTTGTATTTTTACGACATAAAATACAAGCCGATATTTAAATAAAGTCATGTAAAAAAAGGCAGGAAAATCACAAAATGTTACCAATAGTTTTTTTTTATTGGACTGGATTTAGCTCAAGATCCATGGACCCAACCCACATTAGCTGGTTACCATGCATAAACACAATAACTACATGGTAAGGGAAGAAATGAAAGAAAAAGGGGTGGAGGGTTTACCCGGAGAAGCCTCAGACGTCAGTGATGGCCAACGGTGACGATGGTTCTAGGGGGTGGTTTGTCTTCTTCCCTTCTATGTGTTTTTCTTTTCTTTCCTTTATTTTTCTCTTCTTCTTTTTTCCTTTTGGTCTTTAGACCATTCTTCCTCTTCTTCTTTTTTTTCTGGTCTTCCCCCTCTCTTCTCCTCTGTCCTCTGTCTTCTCTGTCCTTTTTTTTTTTTTTTGCCCCTTGTCTCCCCTATTCTTATAGGTGAAAACAAGAGATAGACATGGCTGGGGTAATCAATATGTTGTCGCTCTACGACTGCCCGAGGAGGAATGCTCCTCAATTTCTCCAACATGTAGGAAACCACAGGTCAAGTGAGCAAAATAAGGTCTTTAGTCGGCGTCTTTTTGAACTAAAAGGAGGAAGAAAAGGTGGTGAAAACAGGGAAACAAAAGTTCCCTTCATTGTTTTTTGCACGTCAAAAGGAAGATGAAGATGTACTGTGTTGTTCAAAACGACACCGTTTTGGATTTTTTTTCTTAATTAACGATGTATAAAACGACCTCGTTTTGGGCAAAACAAGTCATTTTATTTAAATAAAAATGACGTCAAACTTATGTGAAAGTACAAATCAATCCTCAATTTGTTATTTGTTCAATCGAATCCTAAATTGCAATTTTAAGACAAAATCCATGTAATTGCATCCCCGCAAAAAATATAACATTGACCTTAAAGTTGTTTGTCTTTTTTACTTTGGTCCTTGGTCTTGAATTTCTGCAATTTGACTTTTAATTGAGCAATAAATTTTTAATTTCTTCAATTTGGCCTTTGTTTTGCTTTAATTGCAGCCCCTTTATTTATGTGTTTTTTTTATTTTGCTTCTTAGTTTTGGATTTCTTCAATTAAGTCTCTAATTGGTCATTTAACTTCAATATCTATGCAATTAAGCCCCTGATTTGATCAAATGAACCTTCAAAAATTATAATTTGACTCCAAAATTTTATTTTTTTCTAATTAAAGCCTAAATTGATTCCAAAATTAATTTTCCTTGCAATTAAAACCTTAATAAACTCAATTAAACCTTCAACAAAATACCGTTAAATTTCAATCTTTGTATTTTTGAATATCCTTAATAATTTTTTGATCATTTTCTAAGCATTTTGTCATCCTTTTTTCACTATTATATTTTTTTGATAATATTTTTTAATATTTTTATTTGAAGAGAGAAAAAAAATTATGGAATAACCCAAAAACATTTTTGACATCAATCTCTCCCTATAATTAAGATTTTACATCCCTCACCTTACTAATAGCTATGTTTGTACATGTTTTTTTTCATTACTTTAAATATTAAAAATGTAAATATTTAAAGACTTTTTAATTATTTACCACAACATATTATGTAATTATGATAGTTTCGTAACTAGAAAAAATTAAGTATAACTTTAAAAAAATAGAATAAAAAATTATTTTTAGGTCATGAAAAACTATATTTAAATACTTACAAACAAAAAACATGTATAAATTTATAATATTGTAAATTTTATCTTGTTATTTCAAAAACTTAAAAGTATTATAATTCTAATTCAAAAAGTAACCATTGAACATAAATACATATGTATACTAGTAATTAATTTATCTGATTCATGATCTGATATAACTAAAAACATGTTATATAAATTTAACAAAACCATTTACGAATTATATACTTACTTTATATTAAAAGGAAAGGTGGATGCCTTTGGATTATAGTCTTTTTTTATTTTTTTTCTTTATTTTTTTCTTTTCAATTATTTTTTTTGTTTAATTTAGTTTTTTAGTATTGATTTTTTTATTTAATTATCGCTATCTCATAATATGAATCTTAGGTTTAACAGATTAACCTAATTTGACATGTTAATCCACTTAACTCAGGATTTTTTTTTCTTAATTAATTTTTTTTTTTAATTTCATCCTTTAATATTGGTTTGATTAATAATTAAATTTCATAATTTTTTTAAATTTACTTTTCATTAGATTATCCTAATCTTATGAGGGGTTTTATTGTACCCCCTCCTTACAAAGCAGTATTCATTATAATAGTTCTTTGCTTTGCTTCTTTTTCTTTGTTTTTTTTTCTTTTCAATTAATATTTTTTTAAAATTCATTTGTTAATATTAAATTTTTTTCTATTTAGTTATTATATTTTCATAACACAGATCCTAAATTTAGTAGATTAACCTGGTTAATTAAGAATTTTTTATTAGTATTTTTCTCTAATTTCATCTTTTAATATTGATTTGATTGATAATTAAATTTCATGATTTATTTGTTTAGTTTTCATTGGATTATCTTGATCTTATGACACTGAAATAATGCTTAATGGCTTAATCCGAGTTAACTCGAGTTATTTTTTGTATCTTTTATTTAATTGATTTTTTTTTAATTTTATTATTCAGCATTGAGTCTATTGGGAATTGAGTTTCATAATTTATTTTTAACCTAATTGACTCATTTTCTCTCTCTTTTTTATTGACTTTTTTCCTCTAATTTCATCAACTAATATTGTGTTTAATTGAGAAGTAAGATTCATGATTTGTTAAAATTTATTTTTTAATGAGGTTATCATGGTATTATGACTAGATAATAGTGTTTAACGGTTAACTCAGGTTAACTTGGCTTAATTGTTTTTGTTATTTTTAGTTAATATTTTTATAATTTTTATTATTCAACATTAGGTCTGACGTGGAAGATTAAGGAATGAATTTTATAATTTGTTTTGACTTTCTTTCTTTGGAGTTTGACTTTCTCTTTTTGGAGTTATCTCGATCTAAAGATCAAAATCATGGATTTGACAAGTTAACTGGGGTTAAATCAGGTCATTTTTTTATTTTTTTTATAAGGTTATCTCAGTCTAATGACACAGGTCATGAGTTTAGTGGATTAACTCAAATTGTTTTTATGTTATTTTTGTAATTGGTTTTTTTTAATCTCATCATTCAATATTGGACTAGTGAAGGATTGAAATTTATAATTTGTTTCAATTTTTTTTATTGAGTTATCTCAGTCTTATTATCCGGGTTACAAGTTTAACATGTTAACCCGAGTTATTTTTTAGGTTCTTTTTTGATTGATTGTTTTTTAATTTTATTATTCAATATTGGATTAATTGAGAATCAAGCTTAATAATTTATTTTAATGTGTTTTCCATAGGGTTATCATAGTCTCACAATTTGGATCATGAATGTAACATGTTAACCCTGGTTGTCCAATGTCAATATAATATTTTGTTATTTTAATATTAAAAAAAGATATCATCTCGGAATTTTATCTAGTTAAAGTTTATTTTCACAAGTTATATGAATTGTTTTTTGACCAATAATGCCAACTGGGTTACATCGAGTAAACCCTCACACAATTTAATTTTTTTATGTTAGAGAAAAAACATTAACAATATTTGAATATGTTTTTTTATGTTCAATTTTTTTTTTGAACTTGACCTGTAGTGTAGCACGGGTCAATCAAATAGTTGTAATTAAACTCGGTGTCATTTGTAATTCAGGTCAACAAAAGGCATGTTACATGGATTTAAGCACGGGTCAATCACATAGTTGTAATTAAACTCGGTGTCACTTGTAATTCAGGTCAACAAAAGACATGTTACATGGATTTGACCAAACTGCTCAAGAATTATAGTAATTAAACTTGGTATAATTTATAATTTAAATTGTAAATTAAATAAGTTAATTTGGGTTGAATTAAGTTAATCAAAATAATATTATTTTTAATTTTTAAAATCAAAACAATATTATTTTATATATAAAAATAAAAGAATTAAATTAGATTTTAATTATATTAAGCTAGATTAACTCTAAATTATCTTTTTTAACATCTAATCTGGTATTGGTATGAGATATAAACTAATGAGGTTTCATATCAACCTCCTAGGACAGGACAGGTCTAGTTTAAGAGGGTGTTTAAAATCATAATAAATATTATTTTGTAAAATGATTTTTTGTGTGGGATATATAAAAATAATATTTTTTTTATTTTATAAAATTTATTTTAGTGGTTATTGCAGCCCCGAGCGTAACTGTAATAGGAATGGTGACATGGTGAAGGAGATGTAGAGATTACGTGGCAGTCACCGCGAGATGTCATGATTCTCCGCGTCCACACCGCGTAAACGTGCACGTCTGCTTTTTGCCATTTTGATTCACTAAATTCGCCATCATTTTCACCGAAAGTTACTGTACACCAATAACTGCTCAGCAAGAAATCTTTTAAAATCAAAGAAACCTACGTGGCATTATGTGAATGGGTTATTCTAATGATGGGCGGTAATTAACTGTATAGTCATTGACAGATCTGTCGACCTCTTTCTTCTCCTTATGATTGGCTTTTTTTTTACTTTTTTCTTCGTGCTGTACGATTTTGCCCCTGATGATTATTCACTGCAATTTTTTTATTTCGAGGGTGTAATTTTTTCAAAATTTGCAATGACTTAAGTACCCTTTTATTGGTTTAGAAAATTGGTCTCCCGCATGCATAGGATGACCGGGAAACATTTCTTTTTTACCAAAAACACATATATAGTATATGATAGCGGTGAAAATTTAATTTGAATTTGATATATATTAATATAAATTAATTTAAAAGATAAGTTTTTTTATAGATATTTACCTTACTTACTTATTGAATAATAAATAAAATATAAATATTGTCAAACTATACTCAAAAGTCAATCCAAATCTAACTCTAATATATATTTTTTATTTTTTATTAAATAATAAATAATAATCATAAAATAAATATCTATATGGATATTCAAAATCTGTTAAATAGGATATGAATATCTAAATTTCTTACTTAATAGGTGCTCGATAGGGTATGCATATAAAAAACACGATTCATTAATATTCATTATTATCTATATTAGTGATTGACATGAGATTATTTGATAATAAAATTTATTTTATTTTAAAATAGTATTATTTTATTAAAAAAAAACTCATGCTAACTAGAGTTAACACATATAATCAAATGATCAAGATTTCAAATTTGATCAGGTCTTATAATTATAAACGAAGCTATATTGAATGGTAGTGTGTATTTGCATCCTCAACCTTAGAAAAATTCTAAATTTTCAGTCCTAAAGTTTTGAAATATTTTAATTATATAATTGATTTAAAATTTACTTTATAAGAGATATAAGTTTATGAATTTATGAAAAAGGAGCTCCATTGAAGAGGAAAGGAATAATTTGCAAAAATATTTATTTTTTTATTAGTGATTTGATTGCATAAGTTGACATGAATTTGATAATAACTGAAAGTAGAGGTGAGATTGATTGATAAAGAGTTGGGATGAATTTCCTTTCCTTGTCAAGTAGGTTTACAAAATATGTTGCAAGAAATTGCTTGAAAATATCTTTCATGTTTGCCAAACTTGAAAAGTGACGTGTTCTTGACAATTTACGATTTATTAGAAAAAAGTGTATCAATGTCAAAGGTTCCTCTCTTGAAAATTACAAAAGAAAATGATGATTAATATGATAGGAAGATAATAATTACAAATGAATCATTGTATAAAATAAAAATCAATTTATTCATGTATATTTGATTTACCTTTTACATTAAATAGTTTTTGTTTTTTATATTAGACTCCAAGTGTAATTGTATTTTAAATTTTAGTTTTATTATTTTTTATTTATTTTGCATGAAAATTTTTGTTATGTAATAGTTTTAACTATACACATATTTTTTTAGACCTGCTTTTTAAAAACCACAACTAAATTTATTTATTTAGTATTGTAATAGTTTTTACAGTTATAGTTTTTTTTAAAATAAAATAAATTTAATAATAACATATTTTTTATGTGATTGAGCAAAAAATATTTTTTTAAATATATTTTTTAAATTATTATCACAAGTATTATTACAATATCAAAAACGAAACAAGTTAGAATACACAAGTTTGCAATTTATATAATACTCTTATTAAGATTATACATGAAAACATGTTAATATAAAAAGATTAAGAGTTAAAAAAGTACATCGGATCCCTCTATTTATCCACTAATATTCAAACTCCATGGAAAATCATGAGAAGCAAAATCCTCACTAATCTCGTGATATTGGCTTGGATGACTTATTTTCAAACACCCCAAAAGGGAAAATTATCCAGAATTATATATATATATATGCAATACTTCACGAATTATAAATTCATGAACACTCGTTAGAAAAACACAACCAAGGGCATAATGGTCATTTAAAAGGCTAACCAATCATCAATCCCAGAAAAAATTACAAAAATAGAACGAAGTTAAAAAAATAAGAAGGGCAAGATTGGAAGTAAAAAGTGAGTTGGAATTGATAGGTGGGGCCACAAGAAAGCTAGGGGCGGCTAAATTAGCTCATATAAAAACACAACTCCTCCTCTCTCTCTCTTACGCGCTCTTTTCTCTCTCTCTCTCTTTCTCTCAGAATTTTTTGTTTCCCTCTAGACTTTTGCCTTTCTTAAAGAGAAATGGCGGATCAATTGACTGATGACCAGATCTCCGAGTTCAAGGAAGCTTTCAGTTTGTTCGATAAGGATGGTGATGGTATGTTTCTTGATCTGTCTTTTGCTTTGTTTCTTGGGGAGTTTTTGCTTTTGCTCTATGTTTTTTGCTTGTGTTTTTAGCTTGATCTGTTTGAGATCATGTTGTTTGGGGTACAAAGATGGTCTCTTTGAGGGAAATATGTGATTTTTATTGATGGGTTCTTCGTGAGATTTGGAAATTTGTTCGGTTGAGATTGGGAAAATTAGTGTCTTTGGTAAAAGGTAGCTTCTCTTAGTGAAATTTGTGAAGGGTTCGTTAGATTTTGATTGAAAACGTTTCTTATTTTGACTATTGAAAAGCAGATTGTTTTATTTTGGGCTACCTTTAATGATCCAATCAACAATGGAATATAATACATGTATGATGTTCGTTAATTATATTGCAGGATCCAAGGCTTGTGATTTAGGGATTTTTTTGGTGGTAAATTAGAAGTAATCTTTGACTCTTTGCATCTAATGATTGTAACATGGTGACGCGTAGTGAACTTCTTTGCTGATTAATGTTTTGCAAATGCATGTCTTGTGCCAAATTATCAATTTTTATGGTTAGCTTATTGTTGTCTGCCGGGTTTATTTGTATTTTAGGTGCTTGAATGCATGTGATTGGTTGTTTCCGAAATAAGTTGTTTTTAAACTTTACGAGATGCCTATGTAATGATAAATGAGATTAAGCTTGCTACTAAGAATAACTAAACAGAAGGTTCTTTCAGATCCTACCTTTTGCTGCATTTGGCTTGTTGCAATTGCAGAAGTAAATTATAGTGTGAAAGCGGAGCTTTGATTATGTGTGTGCCCATGAGAGGCACATGAGACCATCAAAAACAGTTGGTGAATTGGTTTTTGATGTCATGTGTTTTACAGGTTGCATCACCACCAAGGAATTGGGGACTGTCATGAGATCGCTAGGACAGAACCCAACTGAGGCAGAACTCCAGGACATGATTAACGAGGTTGATGCTGATGGAAATGGTACCATTGATTTTCCTGAGTTCCTGAACCTCATGGCAAGAAAGATGAAGGATACCGACTCTGAGGAGGAGCTCAAAGAGGCATTCAGAGTTTTTGACAAGGATCAGAATGGTTTCATCTCTGCAGCTGAGCTCCGTCATGTGATGACTAATCTCGGTGAGAAGCTTACTGATGAAGAGGTCGATGAGATGATAAGAGAAGCTGATGTGGATGGTGATGGCCAGATAAATTATGAGGAATTTGTCAAGGTTATGATGGCTAAGTGATATCCCTCTTCCCCCCCGGGAAAAAATATTTTTATAAATTTAAATTAGGATGGGATAACAGGGTTGATGACCTATTTAACGGAATTTCTAGTTTCATTTTCAACAACTTTTATTTGATGGTTTTTGAATCAAGGCTCTTAAAGGAGGTGGTGTTGGTGGCTTATTGTGGTGGTTTTGTTGTAATGTTCACGCTTTCCTTTAATGTCTTGTGAAACTCGGTTGCCTTTGCCAGTTTATATTTTGCTTATTTGATCTTTTGTAAACTTGAACTACTTGGGAAGATCGAGCCTGTATGTTGAATGGATGACCAATTCTATATTTGCTCACGTTCTGCTACCATGCGCTCATGAAACGTCTCTTCTAGTTGTTCTGTTGGCAGGGCAATCTCCTTTCGTTTTCATTGAAGATTTGGCGCTGTGCCCTGTGGTCGTGCATCATGCACAGCTTCTCGAATCCTGGTTAAGCTTTGAACTCGTTCGATCCGAGTTTTCAGAAGCTGCTGAGAAACAGTAATCCATGCACCCTTGCATCATCCCTGGATGGTGGAATATACAATTCTTAGCAAATCTTCGTTGGACCAGTAATCCATGCCCCCATGGCCATCTCCTTGTGCCAACCTGCAAAGCTTTCGTGTCTTTGTTCTTGCCTTTGTTTTTACCCTTCTTGGATGGCTATAGCAGGCAGTTTTAAATGCAAAAGAATAGGGTATGAAAATAGCCCGATCCAACATTGCTTAAAGAGGACCCGAAGGTTAAATTAGCAGAAAGTCATTTACCAGTCTCACACTGTCAAAAGCTCAGTCAACTGCCAAAAGGAAAGGTTATTTTGTGTTTTGATACTTCATAGTGCTATTCATTAAAGGGTCGACAAAAAAGAAAAATCTCTTCGAGAAGAACGAATCTTCTTCCATACCATAATTAATTCCAGCTTGGATTCATAACCTGTAATAGAAAAGTTTAGAATAACCTGTGAGAAAAAAAATTCATATAGGTCTTCGCAATTTCCTGGCACGCCGGCATTGCAGTGTTCAGTCACAAAGATGGGGATCATAGTGCAAGTCAAACAAAGCGATAAAGTTAAATAAATCCATCACTTGTCCACCAATGGAAATATTCCTTACATGATATATTCCCATTTTCCTCATCACTTACAAGGGCCCATTCATGGACAAACAACAGAAGCTGGCCACATATCCATCATGGCAGTTCAATACATGTGTAACCTTAACATCAAATCATAATCTCTTTAAGCTCTTTTTTCTTGCATCCATTTTCTTCTTCACTGCCTGAACTTTAGAAAGCCCGACATCTTTTTTCAACGTACTGGTTGTTGGTGCAGCAGCTGATCCACTAACTTCTGTCTCGTGAATTGGACCTACAGCAGCTAGCTGATCCTGACTATTTCCTCCTTTGCTGGCCATCGTACAAGGGGCCAGTGGAGATTGCAATGGAACAGCGGCACTAACAGCTGCATTCTTTTGGTCACCGTTATTAAGAACTGAAGTGTTGCTCTGATCAACATTAAGAGCTGTAGTTGATTCTGAAATGGCTCCGGACTTGAACTTAGGTTTTGGCTTTGCATGGATTCCAGTATAAATCCTGAAAATAAGTTTGCAATCACACATTAGTCATCAACAACATAGTTTTCATTCCAAGATGAAACCATGTAACTTGTTAACTTTCTAATGTTACCCTCTTGATCTTCAAGCAGTTTTCATTCCATAGGAGAAAAATAGGTTTTTTCTACTATTAGAATGATGCATTTTCTTTCAGATTCTTAAGCATTTTCCACAATTTATTTGTTTGAGTGAACTGTCTCATGAAATCTAATTACGAGATATGTAATTATCGGATAGCCTCCAAAGTAGTGGCAATACACCAAGCTAGACATTTTAAAGAGGCAAAGACTTGGTGCTAAAATAGCTTGTGAACTAGGAGATTCAAGAAGTTGTGGTCTCTTAACACTGAAAAGATTGGCATCTTCATAATAATAGTTGCAAAGGTCCCATATAACATGATTATATCCACTATCAGCTCTGTCCTAACTAATAATGATTGCCATAGTATTTGATTAGTAAGATATGGGATGGCTCACCTGGCATGTCTGGCATACTCTTCATAATTTTCAAGGAGCATCTTGCCAGCCTGTTCATTCAAAGCTGACTCTGGAAAAGGTTCGATTAATAAACACCTCACTACCTGATATCAACAAGCTCAGAATATCAGTAAAACCAAATAAGAAGTGAAAATGAAAGTAGATGGATGAGACCAAATAAGAGGTCCCAATGGAACTTACCGTGAGAACATGGCGTAGTCCAAGACTTGGATTCCAATCCTTTTTAAGTGTGTTAACACAAATCTCACCATTAGAAGCAATATTTGGATGAAAAATCCTAGTCAGGAAGTAACCTGTAACATAAATGTTCAAAGGATTCACAAGCTAACAAAAGAAAATAACTCAAGAAAGGAAATTAAATCCGAAATGTAATATGAAGAAAGGCAGCCCTTGACTGCCCATTACCAAAAAAGCTTCCTCTTCACAATTGGAAGTACGCCCTTGAATTAAATTAAAATACATATCAGAAAATTTCAAGTCACATTAACAATGTGAATCCACAAACCTCTAGGAGGGGAGTGAGGAAAATCATGAGATAATAACAGCTTCATGCGGAAAACACCATTTTCATATGGAGTCCCAGCTGCATGGCCAAAAATATACTTTGAGTATAAACCCCAAACGAATATCTTAAAGGATGTAAATTTTGAAGGAAAAAGTTATGTGCCTGGGCCTTCAATATCAGCATATATGATCGAAAAATCATCATCGTTTACTCCCACTTTAATTCCCTCAGCTGGTGATTCATCAAGATTCTTCAGTTCCTTTGCAAGTTGTTTTATTACATTGGGTGGAAGATTTTCATTTGTTGCCTTCAAGAAAGATAGAGGTGAAACAATATAAGTAGCAGCCTTATTATCAAGCTTCACAGATAAACTCAATGCAAGTTAATATTTTCTTTAGTCTAGGAATTGCTCAGTGCTCATCTAGATCCGAAGCAACTGGCATGTTTCCACCATCATACATGAATTTAAATTTGTTTCCTATCACAAACAGCTATGAATTTGTTGGTTTTGTTCGCTATTTCTGGACATTTCTTTGTCAACAGTGGGAAACTCTGATTGTTTTATTATCTTATCATTCACTATTTTACTTTCTACAACTCCTGGGGGGTGGGGGTGGGGGTAGGGTTGAACATAAATTTACCATGGCCACAGAAAGCAGATGCTTGCAAGGATGCTTGTTGCTCTTGCTGATATGAAATCAAAATTAAAAAACTGATGTTCCACGATCTTATCCAAACTTCCGGCTGACAGTAACAAATAAGATATGACCTGTAAATAAGATCATCGCAGATAATTTTCAGAGAAAGAATTGAATACAGTTCTGTTCACACATTATTTTCCCTGGAAAGAAGTACAAAAACCAAGGGCGTGTGCATCCATTCTCACACACAGAAATGAGATGAAATGAATTTAAAACCCCTGCAACAATGACCAGCTCCTAAACTCATATCCATGCAGTGAGCCTAGTTAATTCCTAAAGCTGAAAACATATGATCATCAGATGTGAACCAAGATGGTAATTCAAGCACTTTCTATTTGCGAAAAAACAGAGCACTCCTATTGACAATTGCAGGCACCATTGTAATCACTCACAGACCCAACAACACACCAATTACTTGCATGGTCTAAACTTTGAAAGCTCTGAATTTCTCACAACTTAAATGGTTTAAACTTTCAAGGTTCACATTGTGGCGGAAACTAAGCCAATAAAACATGTGCCTGTTTAAAAAGTAAAACTCACATTCCCACCTGTGGGCCCATGTGCCAAATAATTAGGATTCAGAGCTACTACAAATCAATGAAATTCCAATAATCTAGTTATAAACACCTGCCAGTCTAAGAATTTTCCAATTCATGGAAACCTGATTGGAAGCCCAGAATTTCTCACCACCTTTTCAGTTCTCAAGCAGGGAAAAAAGAACCCAGATAACGAATACTTGTACTCTTAAGCTTAATTTAGAGAAACAAGAAATTCGATAAGAGATGAAGGTTTCAATCATAGCTTCATAATTCCCATTTGAATCTACAAATGCCAGCAGTTCAAAGAACCAACTGCGCCCAAATTACAACGCCATAAAATTGAATCCTGCATTAGCTAATCACAATTCCCATTTGAATCTACAAACGCCAGCACTTCAAAGAACCAACTGCGCCAAAATTACAATGCCATGAAATTGAATCCTCCATTAGCTAATAACAATCTGCTGTAATCTGCACAGGCACAAGCCTGTACTTTTAAAATACAGGCGACCACAAAATCTTACAAAGGCACAAAATTGCTTTCCCGCACCTTGATCTACTCATGAGTTTTGAAAAGGATGACCAGTTTGGAGACTTAAATAAAAAAATTGAGCAACATATATCAATTACAAAGACAAACAGTTTAAGGGCTGAATCCAAACCCTAAACAAGATAAACAGCCAGAATAAACCCATTAGTTGAAACCTGCAACACAAATCCCTAAACTCTAGAAAAACACCATACACAACCCGATCAAGAACTTAACCACTTAACAAGATCAAAGAAAACGAATGAAAACTTTCAACTCAAAAAGTCAACACCAAAACCAAGCATTGCAAATAACCCAATTACATAAATCAAAGAAATGAACCTGAGATATCCCAAACAAAATAAAACCACAAAAACCCACCTCACAAAATTAACTAAACAGAACACCAAACCTCGTAACTCTCCAAAGAATCCATCACATTCCAAGAAAGCAATCAAATTTATATTAAAAAAATTAGCAAAGAAGTAAAGAATCAAGTTACTAACCAAATAAAAAAACAAAACTCTAACTTTCTAATCAACAAGAATTATCAAAAACTAATCATATTCACTTTAAAAACTAATCAATCAAACAAACTTAAGTAGAAGAAGAAGAAGAAGAGGAAGAATCAATTAAACTTCAAAAGCAGCAAAACCAAGATGGGTAATTTACCTTATCTTCTTCTCCTTCAAGAGAGAGAGAGGAAGGTGAACTTTATGCAAATACAATATACAGTAAGAGAGCGATCTCTCCTTGTAATCAATGATTGATTGGTGAATTTTAGAGATAGAGAGATTTTCTTTTTTATTGCTAGTATTTATTTATATGCAAACAAAAGAAATACAAAAATAAAAAAATAAAAACTTTTCGAAAATTTAAGCAAATAAAATATTTGTAATAATTAACGTGTATCTAGACAGGATGCAGAGGATTTATAGAAGTTATGTGGAGACTAGGCCCACGCGCCGCGTTCTTAGTGTGGTTCGTTGTGTGAAGGGATATCTCAGGTTCATTTAGAAACATAGCTATAAACCTGGCTCGGGTTGGCAGACGGGCGCCCTAAAGACTTGATTTTAAAAACTTGATTTGGAAATCGGCAGCAAGGCCTACTTCACGTCATAGGCTAAGATATTTGATCCGGGTTAATTTATTTTTTAAACAAAAATATTATGATATTATTGTTTTTTTTTTAAATAAAATTTTTAAAAAAAATCCAAAAGTTAAGTATCAAGTTTTTATTTTGGATTAATCTAGAAATTTTACGAGATAAAAATATTTTAATGCATTAAACCATTCTTTTTAAACCTAGATAGATTTAGGTTATAGAGTGATCAAAGTGCATGTTGACTTGGATTTTTAATCAAGTCTGGCTAGATTATTATCTTAACTTATTTTTTAATTTAAATAGGTTAAAATCCTGGATTAATTTATCTAGATTTCATAACTATGATTGATTTTAAACCTAATTATATTAAATTTTTGGATTAACTTGAATTTTTAACCAAGTTAATATATTAACTTGTCTTTTTTTTAACCTAATTATCCAAGTTCTAGATGAGCCCGTCAAAGTTTCATAACTATAACTAATCCCAAGCTACACTGGAATTAGATTTTATACCAAATTATTTTTGGCAAAACAATGATATTTTAGTCACTAAAAAAATAAAAAATATTATTAACCCATTATCTACTGGATGATTCACAACTAGAGGTATAATTGGGTTTTATGGTATTATGGTAGCTTTTATAGTTGTAATATGAAAAAAATTATTTTATAAAAAATATTTTTAGTTAATGTTAGTTTGATATTTACATATGTTTGATTAAAAACATGGTTGAAATTGAAATTAAATAAAAAGTAGTTTAATATATTTGGTTAAAAATGATTTTGAAATTGAGATTATAGAATATTATATATATATATTAATGGTTTTTAATTTAAATATTATAGATTTACATATTGCTATTACACTATGAAATAAATAATACTTTATATAAAATATTTTTTTATTAATCAGTTAAGCTATCTACACTTCAATTACATGTGAAATACATCCGACGAGGACTAAAGTTTTATTGGTTTTTTAAGTGCGCAACAACATCGGGTCAAATATAATTAGAAACAAAATTAGAATTGCGATTAAATTCTGTAAATACTACGTCATCAATAAAACACGATTAATTTTTTTTTTATTGAGTCGAACCCAATTCAATGCTAGTTTTGAACCAGACTTGGTCTAGTTGGAACAGTAAAGATATATGCACACTGTTCATATGAACAGTAAGATATACTTCACTATTCACGTGTAGAGTGGAGTCACTTTTTACTTTTAACTTAAATGAAGAATGGAGAGTGAGAGTTCTCCACAACTAATAGGAGGTGAGTAAAAAAACTAAAAAACTGATTAAACTAAGAAAACAAGAAAAAAATAATTGAAAAAACCAAATTGTAAAAAAACCGATTGAAATTTTGAAAAAACTGCCTGGTTCGGTTCGATTTCTATTTTATAAGTTTGAAATTAAAAAAACTGAACTGAACCGAACTCAAAATAATAAAAAATCATAAAAAACCAAAGTCAAATTGAAAAAAACAGAGCCAAAACCAAGATAAACTGGAAAAACCAAGTAAAATCGGTTTGAACCGATTTTAGTTCTAAAAAATAAAAACCAAACAGAAACTAGTAGGTTTGAACCTGTTTTATTTGGGTTTTGATTAAAAAAAAATTAATTTAATTATTTTTTAAAATAAAAATCAAATCAAATAAAAAATAATCACTCCCAACATCTAAAACCAATGTGGTTTTCAATGATCTTCTATTTTCAACATAAAAATTGATGAGATTATCCGTTACCAAATATTTGTTTTATGTGATTGGTTTTAATTATATAAGCAACCACAAAAACACAAAAACAAATGGCCTTTGAGGAGTGAATTAATAGGGCTTGCGCGTGTTGTGTATTCTGTTTGTGGGCGAGTGAAAAAGGTTATTGTTTTGTAATTTCTTAAAATCAACCTGACATCTGCTGCCCTAATCGAGTTCTTAGTTTTTTATTTTATTTATAACTTCTTGGTGCTAATTGATAAGTTGAATGACAAATGTAGCCTCCCACATGGAAGATTATCATTATTTAGTATAAAAATTAAAAATTAATTTTTCTTTCTATTTTCTAAAGATATAGTTTTTAGGCAAGAATAGATTTTAATAAAATTAAAATGAGCTGAAAAGAAATATTTCACATGCAAGTAGATTACAATTTTTTTAGAACTTTTTAATTGTTGAATTCATATTAATCACATGCAAGCAAAATTAAGATTTATTTTCTTTTAAAATATATATTGTTTCAATAAATATGTATATCTAGATAAAAGGATGATAATGTAAGAGTTTATACTTATTATACAAATCTTTTCTTTGATCTTACAAGATAGGAATATATTGAGCTTTGTAGGTTTTTTTTTTCATTTTTTCTCTTATACGTTATAGTTAAGCAATGACTCACAATATTATTGAAGTTCTTAATTATAATGATGAGGAATGATATTAATAATATTTTTATTATATTATTTATTTATTTTGTAATTTTATTTTCAGCTTTAATAAATTTATTAAATGAAGTGTTATTATAATAATATGGAGTGATATTATCAACATTTCATTATATTACATCAATTAACATAGCATGTTCTGTTTTTAAGCGTAAAATAATAGTTTGTAGCTCAAAAAATAATAAACAAATAAAAAAATCTGAGATTATATTGAGTTTTCTCAAGTAAAATTTTGAAATTTTAATTTCTACGCTATATCTAAATAACAACTCGAATCTAAACTCTAATTATTTCTAAGAAATTCAACAAATTATTATAATAATTATTATTATGTTAACAAATCAATTATATAATACAAGAAAAAAAAAAACCAAGAGGAGCACCCGCGATCAAACAAAATGGGAAGGCAAGACCAGTGGTTTAAGAGGCAGAGCAAGGGCAATTGAGTCATATCATGTGTGGAGCCCGAAATTAAAGTGGACCCTTTTTGAAATGCGAGTTAGGTGGGCGTTCAAGTCTCTGCGGGTCCCACAAAATATTTTTTATTTAATTTGATCTGGGGCCCACTCTAATTTTTTTATTTTAAGCTCAGGCCTTCCTAGGCTGGTGTGAATATGTGACCGTTAGATTGTCATCGTCCTCGACTAGCCGTTAGCCTGCGCTAGTTATCTGGCGTTATTAGGTTTTATTTAAAAAAAAAAAAATTGTATTTAAAAATATATTAAAATAAAGTTTATTTTTATTTTTTAAAATTTATTTTTAATACAAGTAAATCAAAAAAATTTATACACACTAAAAAAATTAATTTAAATAAAAAATAATTTTTTAACTATAAAATGATGCTATTCTAGATATAATGCATGCCTTGAATTAGGTACAATGATTGTGATTTCAAGTATAATTATTTAAAATCTATTTATTCTAGCAACTATATTATTAGGTTTGGGTTTGGTGGATAGATTAATAATATACGTTGTCTAGGTATGGATGGAGCTTAGGAAGGGTGGTTTGTACAAAATTCCAAAATCGTGTCTATGATTGTAAAAACTGAGGGGATAGCGCTATTTGTTTCTGTGCTGTAAAATTACTTTTAAAAAAAATTATAATTTTCTTTTTAAATTAATATTTTTAGTATTTTCAAACTATTTTGATATAGTAATATAAAAATATTTTTTAAAAAAATAAAAAATATTATTTTAATATATTTTCAAATAAAAAATACTTTAAAAAACAATTATAACCACACTCTCAATTTCAAGCACTCTCTTAATTAAGTAATTATACATATTTTTGTTAATTAAGTAATTATACATGTTTTTGTGTCAACTCATTTTATCTAAATAAATTTTTAATAATTTATTTTTTAAATTTTTTTAACATTAAGTCAATACTTTTTTAGATATTTTTAAATGATTTTGATGTATTAATATGAAAAATATAAAAAATATTATTTTAATATATTTTTAATTAAAATCATTTTAAAAAAGTATCTCCTATCAACAAACTAAACACATTATAAACAACATACAACTAGTTAAAACAAAATATTTCATAGTTATTTTTTTATGTTGATCATTGCCTTTACTTTATAAAAATTCACAGATAAAGTTTAAAAAAAAAATAAAAAAAAAAAGGAAAGGGAAGGGAAACATCACATAACATAGTTTGAGTATAATTGTAACATTACCCACTAAAATATGATATTCTTGGAAATAGTTTCTCAATTTTAAAATATTTGATTTTGTTTCCTTGATGCTAATTCATGGCTAGAAACATTGAAAATGGATGAATTGGCTGTGCTTTTCTTGCAACACAACGCAAACGCAACAAATTAGTCTTTGTATGATTTTCATGGCCATTGACTTTAATCTCCACTGAGAAATTAGGCATTGTTGCTTATCTATGCCATTGACTTTAATCTCCACTGAGAAATGAGGCATTGTTGCTTATGGAGGCAATCATATAACTCTTGCTTGTTAAGGTTTTGGTTTCCCTCTTGATATTTCTTTACTAATTGTTTATGCCTTGATGGAGGCTTTACATGATTATTATCATCATTAAAAGCTACAAGTGTAGCTTGAAATTGTGTTCTAAATTATATATTTTTAATTTTAATTTTTTTATTAAAATTATTTTTTATTATTTTAATATGCTAGTGTCTGCATTAAAAACTCCAAAGACTATTTGAAATTGCGTTCTAAATGATGTTTATCTAAATTTTGATTATTTTACTTAAAATTATTATTTATTATATTTTTGAACTGTCTTGGTATATTCATGACAACATTAAAAGTTTAAGGGTTGTTTGAAATTATGTTCTAAATGATATTTTTTTAAATTTTAATTTTTTTATTAAAAATATTTTTTTATAATTTTTAAATTGTTTTGATATGCTGATTTTAAAAATAATTTTTTAAAATAAAAAATATTTTAATATATTTTTAAATAAAAATATTTTAAAATATAACCATTACTATATTCTTAACCACTATTTTAATTTGCTTCGCGTGGAAGGTACACTCATTCCATCAATTGCCTATTTATTACTTCTTCATCTGCGTTTCAAATTGTATTTTAAAGTAACAAATCATAATTTTTTTAATTTTTTTTACTTGAACTATAATTTTCACCGCGTAAACAAACTTGTCTTAAGCTTGGCTGAGTAAGTAAATGACCATTTACTCTTTTCAAAATGCCTTTGCATCAAGATGCCCTGAATCCTTTCACCTTTTCTAGTTTCTGAACCTCCAACATTTTATTGTTTTATTTCTTAATTTAATGGTAATAATATTCTTGAATTAATTCATATTAATTTTATATTCGAGTTATTTTAAAAATATAATTTTTATATCAGTATGATATATTAAAAAAACAAATCTAGTGAATCTTTTTATATGTTGATTTCAAAAAATTAAAGAACGGAGCACATCTCCTTAATTACCAAGTTAGTCTTTTAAATTAAGATGAATTCTTCCAGACTAGGATACATTCTTTTTAGAATAATTATTTGAAATATGAAATCCTAATCACAATGAATTATCTTTTTTTTTTTTTTTTATGAAACCATACCATTTCTCATTTCTAACACCTTTTTTATTAGATGATCATTGAATTATGTAATTTTCTTTTATGAAGGAACATGCTGACATAAAACAAATAAAAATCAAAGGCCCTAATATCATTGCAAAAGCTTTTCTCTAAAATCTTAATTTTTTCCATTATTTGCAAACAATTTTTCTTGTTCAAAAAAAGATTTCATTGATGTAACGGTCAATGGTCTTATTAAGGTTAACTCAATCAAGTTAATGATATTTTTGTTTTTATATTTAAAAAAAATATAATTTTTTAATTTTAAATTATTTTTAGATCATTTTGATATGCTAATATTTTTTAAATAAAAAATTAATATTTTAATGTATTTCTAAATAAAAAATACTTTTAAAAAAATAATACTATACTCCTAAAAAACTCTTAAATAAATTTTACGAAGTGAATGTTTTTTTTCTGATTAAACTTTAACAAGATTAAAATTAGATTTTAAGTCACAAATTTTTCATTGGAACTCGTCAAATCGGGTTTAGCCATGGTGATTTAAAAAAAGTTAATTTTTTTTATTGAAGTAGTGGAAGTTTGAAGATTACAATATATGCAATAAATTAAATCAATGAAATGTGATTTCATTTCTCTATTTACTAAAACTGTGAAAGAAATTCAATTAATTCAAAGAGTGCACGTGCAAGCTCCAAACCTAACCACGAAACGGTAGCTAGGACCTTAAACGAGGTGGTAGGTGGCAACTAACACGACCATCTCCTTTACAAAAAGGCCCGCCACAGCATTACTCTTAACTTCATAGCCATTACTGTGACCTTCTTGCATGCTGATTCAATAAGTGACTGAGAAACTACATAAATGGCAACATCCCAAGATGAAAAGAAGATGAAGATACTATGTCTCCATGGATTTAGGACCAGTGGAAGTTTTCTTCAGAGGCAAATTAGCAAGTGGGATCCTTCCATTTTTTCTCATTTTGACTTGGTATGTAACACTCTAATCATTGATCATGTAGTTAGACATTATTGCAAACAATTTACGATCTCATCGGTTGGAAATGTGTAGCCATAGTTACAATCCAAATTTTAACAGAGAAATGTCGGCATAGGAGATGGAAAGTACCTAAGAAAATAATAGAAGACCCATAGTACTGGTTTGGTCGATGAATCAGATTCGTGTAATAATTTATGGGACTGCGCTCAAATACTGGGGGATATTAACTTTGAACTGGTCATACACCATCATTCAGGATTTTCCAGACGGAGTATTTCCTGCTGGAGGCAAATCCGAGATTGAAGGCATTTTCCCACCGCCATACTTTGAGTGGTTCCAGTTCGACAAGGTATGCTAGGATCTCTCCTCTTTTGGGACAAGTAAGATGATATACATGGGAAAAGAAAATCATTGATAAAATTTCCTTTCCAGGCTCCAAATTTTATATACAAGTATCAGTAAATGCTAATATTTGGAGTGTCAACCTGCAGGACTTTACAGAGTATACAAACCTTGAAGAATGCATCTCTTATTTGTGTGAATACATCACAACTAGAGGTCCTTTTGATGGTTTTCTCGGCTTCTCTCAGGCATGTATCCATATCAAACTTATTAAACCCGGCTCGAACTATCACCCGGTTCAAGGGTTGAGTCATGGATTCTTTGTAATATTTTTTTTTTTAAAAAGTCAAATCATGTTCAAGGGTTGAGTCATGGATTCTTTGTAAATTGTTTTAAAAAAAGTCAAATCATTTTTTCACTTTGTCAATTATGAGTTGATTTTTTTAAAACCCGGCCTGGTTCAAGGGTGGAGTCTCGGGTGGACCCACATGGCCGGGTCGGGTTTAATAAATGTGATCCATGTTCTTCTATTTGACCCGTACATCTAGTTTTCCTTTTATTATTATTATTATTATTATTATTATATCAAGTCCCTTCTCTTTTCTTCAGGGCGCCACACTCTCAGCCCTGCTACTTGGCTATCAAGCTCAGGTATGTAAACTTTTTCGCTTTCTAGATTGTTTCGGGGCCTTGATAATATCATGTGGGACAATGAAAAGGGCAAATTTTGTGATGAAACAGGGAAAAGTATTGAAGGATCATCCACCCTTTAAACTGTTTGTGTCGGTATCAGGGTCCAAATTCAGAGATCCAAGCATATGTGATATTGCCTACAAGGACACCATCAAGGTAAAGTCAGTCCACTTTATAGGAGCCAAAGATTGGTTGAAAGAACCTTCAGAGGAGCTCGCCACTGCCTTTGACAGCCCTCTCATCATAAGACATCCACAGGGCCATACTGTTCCTAGACTTGGTAGGTTATGATGCTTATTGTTTTAACTCTAACTAAATTTCTTCCAAAATACTCGACCATGTCAGGTTTTCAAAACTTCCAGTTCAATGCTGCTTTGTTATGTTCATAGTCATTTTACCTGTCTTGGCCCGGTGGGTTGATTAAAAAAATAAGTGATTCAAAGTCTGACCTCTTGGTGAAACTCGGTTGATCTCACCAAAGTTGTTTTATCACTTGGTTGAGCTGAACAAACCCGTCTTAAAACCTGTCCGGATCAACTTCAAGATTTCTTTAAAAATAACAAAATGAATGATTGACCTGAACAGTCCTCTGACGAGGTTTGACAACTATGATTATGGTTGTAATTGCTATATAAATAATTGAAGTGATTTTGGTTGCATGATCAGTATTTTATGTTGCAACACAGATGAGGCAGCCACGGAGCAGCTACGTGCTTGGGCCACAGAAATCCTCAGTTACAATAACAAAATTCTAAAAGGTGAAAATCATGAACTGGAGAATGGAGAAACTAAAGTGGACGATGAAGAAAAAAAGCCAGAAGAGGTCTCTAACAAGATCGATACTGCTCAAGCTCAGCAGGATGGAATTGGCATTGAACTAAAGAGAGAAGTAGAGGTTGTGAAAGCCTAAAAGCATCAGAAGCAAATAGCAGGCAATAAAAGGGCAACCATGTTTAGCCCTGTAATGGTTATAATTTATTTTTTTCTTGGCATTGTCCCAACTGAGTTTGGGTGTATCAACCGAGTCACTAATAATCTATTAAGGTCTATCGAGTTTTACTAGCTCAATGTTTTATTCGGTTTAACTAAAAACCTGGCGCGGCTGCAGAAGCAGCAGAACAACTCTGTTCAGACAGTAGGACGAGCCAGGAAGCTAATTTCTTCTCTCTTCCTCTGTTTTCTTCCTAGTAATCTAAGTATTATACTCCTCGTATTCTAGTTAAAAACTCGAAGGCTTGTGCATTAGTTCTCTAAAAATCCAGGGTTTCTAGAGATTTTGTGCTTCTTAAAAGATCGGTAATGGAAGGAGTTAGACAACTATATTTTGAATGCCATGCTTGAGATATCATACCATCTTTTGTGATGCAAATTTCTCTGCATACATGATTATATAGGCCTGGATAGTAGAACACAATAATCAGAAATTGTTGATATTATCGACCAAATAATAATAATAATAATAATAATAATAAGAATAATAATAATAATAAAACTTTACGGTCTGAACCTAGAAATTATTAACTTAAAACCTCACGAGGGTAAAGTTTTTAATATAAAATATTAACCCAATAAAAACTGATTAATCTTATAAAAATTTTTCCACCTATATTTTTTTTAAATAAAATAATATTGTTTTAATAAAAATAATAAACCTGTAACTTTTCTCGAATCAATGTCAAAATCAAATCTTCATATAAATTATATTCAAAGGGTCTAACATGCCTTAAGTTATGTTAATGAAAATATAATTGAGGAACCTATGTCAGAACGATCAATTACGGGAAAGCAAATAATAAGTCATAATTTACATAAAAAATTAAAAGACATCACCTTTATTCATTCTGTTTTCACACTCTTAATACATTTAAAAGCTGTATTAATGAAACTAAGCACTCTGTCACATGCTAATTTTTCTCTACGCTTTGCCTAGTAAACAAAGAAACGTGCAATAAGTTGATGCTAATCAATTAAACAAAGTTTAGCTATACAATTCACCTTAATCTACATATGCCATTGTTCTTAATTATACTTATTGAAATTAGCATAACAAATCAACCTGATAATCCATTGCTTGCCCAAGACTAGAATTTTTTTATGAATCACTTTGAAAATTAACCCAATTAAACTTGAAATCCTATCAAAACTAGTGATACTTGAATAGGTTAGCTTCAAGAAATTTTTTAATTTTTGTTAAAAATAATATTATTTAAATGTTTATTCAAAACAATGTTATTTGAATATTATTATTTTTTATATTAAAATAATATTATTTAAAAATTGACTTATATTGAGTTGTTAACTCATGAGTTAAATAAGAAAACTCATGAGATGTGTCTTGGGCCATAATAATTATGGGAAGCAAGAATCTTAGATGGGCCAGGTTTTTCTCTACATGTTTTGAGAAACTATTTCTGCTCGGACCAAGTTTTTGGGTCTGGGTAATTCAGCCCAATTTTATATATTCCAATAATTAGGCCCAAATATAATTAAAAAGGCACACGACGTTGCTTGTAAATCAGCTTCAAAGAAATTTAATTTTACCGTAATTTCTCCGGAGATCTAAAAATCTTCAAAACTAAACCACTGTAATCGCTTTAGCAGCAGAAGCGAGGTCAAACCGACGTCAAATCTCGCAAATCCGAGGCGTTTTCCACTAAGAAAATGGCGACTACGACTGAGGTCAGTCTCTCTCTCTCTCTGCGTCTTTGAAGCGATCAAACTGATTACTCTGTTCACGAGATCTAACAAAATCCGGTTTTGTTTTTTGAAAATTTACAGGGGCAATCAAAAAATGAAATCGCAAAAAGTGTATTTGATTTAGGAGCTTTTGTTGGTGATTTAGGCTCCATTGAAGATGATGCCGCTAGGTACATTTTTTGTTGTTAATTAACATAAATATTAGATATTATTTATTTATTTATATTTTTTGCTTATGTAGTGATGATATATCATTAGAAGGACTTGAGCAGGAACTAGAAGAATGCAGAAATGATGATGTAAGTATTTATTTATTTCTGATATTTATAGTTTATTTTTTTTCTTATTAATGTTTTTAGACTGGATTGTTGATTTATTTGTGATATTTTTGCTATAAGTATTTTTTTTATTAATTTTTTTAGACTGAATTGTTGATTTACGTTCTTTTTTAAAAAAGGTTTTTACTGTTTGATGTGTAGGTAGTTACGAATATATTGTCGAAAGGGACGAAGTTGAGAGATCACACAAAAGGGGTTGAGAATAATTTACGGCAAGTTGAGTTGGATTCGATTCAGGTTGGTGGTTAGTTCTTGGTAATTTTTGTACCATGTTTTCATGCATTGATGCGTGATTATGTTGGTATCTTTGAAATGTTGCAGGATTATATAAAAGAAAGTGATAATTTAGTGTCTCTTCATGAGCAAATTCGTGATTGTGATATCATCTTGTCGCAGATGGAAACTCTACTTAGTGGTTTCCAGGTATGATCATAAATTTGTAGTAATTTGTTTGAGATGATTTGGTTATATGAATGTTTATGAATTGCCTTTTTGGTAATATCTGAAAATATTTTGTCCGTGGTGGATTAGGATTGTTTTTCTTGTTGCAACTGAATTGTGTTTAATTTTGAAATTTTGTTAGGGTGAGATTGGTTCTATAAGTTCGGACATTAAGATTCTCCAGGAGAAGTCGATGGATATGGGTCTGAAGCTGAAGAATCGCAAGGTAGGGTATCTTTTTTGCTAGAAAAGCTGTCATTCACATCTTTTCATTGTCTGCATTGATTTTGGAGAATCGCATTTATGTCATGCTTTGGATGCTGATTATGGTGTTGACCTTTAGTTCTCTTTACTCAGCACGAGAAAGAAGTGGGGATCAGGGATTTTCTTTTTCTTGTTCTTTATGAGTTTGGGAAGAGAGATGGCTTGCTGAGTTAACCATAGGATCTTAAGGTGTTATGACTTTGTTGTTTGTAAACTCTTTTAGTTGTTTGGAAATATTACTGTTCTTGGATTTCTAGTCAACATATAAGTGTGATGTTTCTAATAAGGTGTGTAGTATGTTTGCTGTTATCACTGTTCTGCACTGCTGACATGAGCTTGTGCATATCTGATCGGGAACACTTTAGCATGTATATAGTTGTCATATGGGCATGTGCATTTTAAGTTAACATATTGCCTCTAAGTAATGTTTTACTTCAAGGTAAAAGTTCATCTACAGTCTAATGTTTTAGTGGTCCTTTTCCCTACATGTCTGTTATCTTATGTTTCTGTGTTACTGGAACAGGCAGCTGAATCAAAACTGGCAAAATTTGTTGAAGACATTATAGTCCCTCCCAGAATGGTAGACATAATTGTTGATGGAGAGGTACTTCTGATTTATGTTCCCTCACATTTTTTTTTTTGAGAAGGGGGTAAAAGCTTGCACTCTAATGCTGATTTTTGATTTAGCCTATTCATGTAGGGTTTGTTGTATTTGTTCTTGTTAATCAGCACCAATATACTTGCAGTGCAACTCTTTTTTTTCCAGGTTAATGAGGAGTATTTTAGAACTCTCGAAATACTTAGTAAGAAGCTGAAGTTTGTTGAAGCAGATCAATTGATTAAAGGTTCTAAAGCTCTAAAAGATGTTCAGCCTGAGCTTGAAAAGCTCAGACAGAAAGCAGTTACAAAGGTTGATTGATCAGTTGATTAGTTAGTAATTTGCTCAATCATTTATTGATAAGTTATTCCTCAATTGATTTTTTACTGCAAAATTGTTTTTTGCTAATAGCTTTCCTTGGTAATGTGTACATTGATATAGCACTATATTTATATTTTTGCAGGTGTTTGACTTCATTGTTCAGAAACTTTATGCCTTGAGAAAACCCAAAACAAATATTCAGATCCTTCAACAGAGTGTTCTTTTAAAAAACAAGTGAGTTGTGCATCCATAGTGGTGCTTATGTAGTATGTGCTCTGATGTTTACATTTTAGCCCATGATTATTTTGCTACTTGTGTGCTTGTTGTAGTCGACTAAATGGTTCGATGAAATTGTAGGTATGTCATTTCTTTCCTCAAGGAACATGCCAAGGAGGTATATATTGAGGTTCGTGCAGCATATGTCGATACGATGAACAAGGTGAATGCATTAAAATTTCATCTGCCTTTGAATATAGACTTTCTAGGACTTTCATACCTCATCTCTCCCTTTTCATTTATTGTTCAGTGGAGTGCACCACTGCCTTTTCTCATTATTTCTAACATGAGAATATCTGCTTTAAGCTTCTGTAGTTGTAAATATGATTTTGATCTACTGCAGTAAGGACCTTGGCTTTCCATATGGTGCACATGCTTTGATTATTTTAATTTCTTTTCAATGCTACCTGCATCATACCTCATATATCCTTGCTTCTATGTATCAGACGACCACATTTTAACACCTAATTCAATCCTGCTTGCTTTTAAGCACCGTGTAATTTAAATCCCAAGTTACCATGGTGAAAATATATGCATGAGTTTTCAAGTTCTGCCGGGCTTTCTGCAGGTACTTAGTGCACATTTCCGTGCTTACATTCAAGCATTGGAGAAATTGCAGTTAGATATAGCAACATCTAGTGATTTGATTGGTGTTGAGACCACAAGAAGCACTGGTCTTTTCTCAGCTGCAAGAGGACCGCTAAAGAATAAATCAGCTGTATTTGCTCTGGGGGAGAGGATCAACATTTTGAAGGTCTTTTTTTTTCCTGTTCTTTTGAACTGGATTTAAAATATTAATTTCTATCATTCTTTGTGATAATTTTTGTAGGATAGTTGCCTAATTTATGGAAGAAGGTGTTTCTTTGTAGGTGGCATTCTTTTTAGCCAAACTTGATTCACTGTTAGGGTTTTAATTGGTTTCAGGACATGGATCAACCAGCATTGATTCCTCATATAGCTGAAGCCGGTTCCCAAAAGTATCCTTATGAGGTTCTTTTCAGGAGCTTGCACAAGCTGCTAATGGATACTGCTACTTCTGAGTATGCTAGAGTTGCTCTACTCCTTGATTTTGTTTTCTAGTGATTGCGAAATGCTAAATCCAAGCATGCAAGAATTTCAACAATTTCTCATTCTGCAGGTATCTCTTCTGTGATGATTTCTTTGGGGAAGAATCCATTTTTAATGAAATTTTTGCAGGTAATTGCAAAAGATTTTCATAGTAATCGTAGAAAGTATTTCCTACACAAATGCTGAAATGAATTTCGTTGGAATTCACTGTTTACTTGTGCTTGTAGGATTGTATGCCAAATTAACACAAAATGCTTTAGTAACAAAAAGCTCTCATGAGTTATGGTCCAAAATAGAATATAGAGGAAGGATTCATGTAGGTCATGCCAAGGAGTTTGGGATATATTTTAAGTTGGGATGAGCTGTGCTAGTGTTATTATTTTTATTCTGTTCCTTGAATGAGACCATCCACGATTTGTTAGTTTCAAAATTTAGACTTGTTATTGCTTTCCGCGGAAAAAAAGAAATTTCTTTACTTGCCAACTTAAAAAGTTTTTGTATTCTGTTGCTAATATGGAGAGAAACTAATTCCTTTTCATTCATTTCTGTAATTTCATCAGGCCCATTTGCTGTTGTTGATGAACACTTCAATTCAATACTACCTAATTGCTATGATGCCATAGGCCTGATGCTAATGATTCGCATAATACATCAGCACCAGGTCAAAATCTTTCCATAATTACCATGTCAATGTGTTCAATTCACTTTTCTTAAGCAATCTGATGTTGTTATTATAATTGCTAGACCACTACATTACATTTTGTGGTATTTTAGTTTGAATCTTGGCCTGTGTTGAACATTTGTGTGCTTTGTGCTGGCCGGCTTCTCTGGCTCAAACAATGAGAAAGAAAAAAGCTTGCCAATAAAACGTGGACAGATTGGTATGCTTGCAAGGAGTTCATCAATTTCTGATAGCTGCTTTCACTTTTCAGCTCATTATGTCTCGGCGGCGGATTCCATGCCTGGATTCATATTTGGACAAGGTGTGTTATACTCTTCCTAAGTTTATTCATTTCATGTGTCCATACATGTAATAACATCTACACATATGGGCAGTTGATACTATACTACATTGTGCTGCATGGCAACAATTTCTTACCATACCTAATGACAAATGTGATTAATTGTTAAATTGATTGAGCAGGTCAACATTGCTTTGTGGCCTCGTTTTAAGATGGTATTTGACTTGCACCTTAGCAGCCTCCGTAATGCAAATGTAAAGACATTGTGGGAAGATGACGTCCATCCTCATTATGTCATGAGGCGTTATGCTGAATTTACAGCTTCTCTTATTCACCTTAATGTTGAATATGGAGATGGACAGGTTAGATATATTTCCAAGCTAGAGATATAAAAATATATTAAATAATTGTTTGAACAACATTTGCTTGTTTCTTGTTCCCCCCTAGTCATGTAATGCTTATGGTTTTTGGCCTCCCTATTTTTGCAGCTTGAATTGAATATGGAGAGGCTGAGAATGGCCATTGATGACTTGCTCATGAAGCTAGCTAAAACATTCCCAAAACCAAAACCACAAATTGTGTTCCTTATAAACAACTATGATATGACCATCGCTGTTTTGAAGGTAGATAATTACTTTGTAAAATGGATTTTTACTCGGCTGACTCAAGTTCCTTGGTCAATTTGTAACGCCTATTAGATTTGACTGTTCTTACTCTTTGCACTGCCTACTTGTTCCCATCATTTGAATTCTAGGAAGCTGGCTCAGAAGGTGGGAAAATTCAATTGCACTTTGAGGAACTGCTGAAGAGCAACACTTCGATGTTTGTGGTAAGCATTTTCTGCTGACAAGGAATTGCTTTCTTTGAAGATATTCACGTTGGCAATATCTTGAAAATTGATTTCCCCCCTACCTTTTATATAACAACAATCATAAAAGGGGAAGCAAAATGGGTGAAATAATTAATTAAGAGTCACGCAGAAGGTCCTGTGAGATATCATCCTATCCGAGGACATCCTTTCCTAAAAATTAAGTTCCTTGTGCTTTATCTTCCCATTGTTATTTCATTGGCAGTTTATTTATTGCCCACTCCCTGCAGGAAGAGCTGCTACTAGAGCATTTTAGTGACCTAATCAAGTTCGTGAAATCCCGAGCCTGTAAGTTTATATTTCAACATGTCATTTGTAAGATTTCTGCATTCATTTCATTATTAAAGGAGATGGCCTCACTTGCAAGTTATTTGCCAGCGGAGGAACCGGGTTCTAGCACCGAGAAGCCCATAACTGTTGCTGAAGTCGAGACAATTGTGAAGGATTTTGCAAGCAGATGGAAAGCTGCAATAGAGCTGATGCACAAAGATGTTATCACTTCTTTCAGCAACTTCTTATGTGGCATGGAGATCTTGAGAGCTGCATTGACACAGCTCCTGCTTTATTATACAAGGCTATCAGATACAATAAAGAAGATCGTCGGCGGGTCTGCGCTGAACAAAGATCTTGTGTCTATATCATCAATCATGTACGAAATCAGGAAATATTCAAGGACTTTCTAGATCATTGATGTTATGTTAGCAAACACAATATCCTACGAAGTCCATGGATCGAAGGAGTAAGCATGTATTATCTGCCCCAGCAAGTACTCTTCGACTTCGGAAAGTACTAGACAACAAAAATTGCACAAAAACAATTGCTCACGGACAGAATTCAGCTTCACAGTTGCTGAGGAAGTTTCTTCACTTGGTTCATGTTTGGTGTGGAAAGCCGCCGGCCGACCGGTTCGTGAAACCTTTGCCGTGATTTTGTTGGTTGCAGATTTTTGGATACCAGCGTGTTCTTTCAAGGTGTTTATTTTTATTTTTTATTTCATCTGTCTTAAAGCACGAAGTCAAGAAGTCTGATTTGGAAAATGCGTGGATTTATTGAAAAGAAGCAAAAGCCAAGCTAGCAGTAGAGTTAAAAGCAAGAGGTAAAAGTTCAGTATTATACAAGATGCTGAGGAATGTATCAAACCAGTAATATTGTAACACCTGGCCTGACAAATCATGTCGGTGTCTTGTATTTCACTCTTTTTTTATAGCTTATGAGATGAAGCATTTCTTCACATTTATACATTTTAGTCGGCATTTTTGATATCCAATACGGAATAATCTCAATAATCTTTGTCATATATTTCTTGCTTAGACTGTAGGGTCTAGGCTTTGGTAATGTTTGCAGGTTGTTATATTAAAATATTTTTTAAAATTTATTTTTAATATCAACATATTAAAATGATAAAAAATATTAAAAAAATTTAAAAATATTGTTTGAACCAAAAACAAAAACACTCTTTATTAACAAACCATGCTTCAATTGTCAGTAATCTTGGACCCATTTTCTCTAAATACTAGCTCGTGAGATGAGGGTTTTCTTGTTAAACTTGGATTTTGAGCAGTAATATCTTGAATGATGGGAACATGGATTCCACCATGAGAAAACAATGGAAGAAAATGATTAGAGATTAGAACAGTGGAATCACCGGCTATCAGTTTATATGTAGATGAGTCATGTTAAACATATGTTTCGTTAAGTTAAAATCTCTTAATTAACAATGGCCTGTCAATTGTCATTGCCTTAAATTAATAATAATGCTGCTGCTTTCGTTCATTGTCATGTCCCGTGAAAGGCTCCAACACATTGTCCTTTTGTCATAGAGAAAACAACTATAGATTATATACAAAGGGAACTTGACAAAAGACAGACAAATTCACAATTAAGGTTATTTATTTTACATAAAGTAGTTTTTTAAAAATTATTTTTATATTTATTTATTATTAAAAAAATTGATTAATAAAAAATATTTTTTAGTAAAAAAAATTTGATTTGATTTCAGATAAGTATTTTTTTTTTAATTTCAATGAAAACACTTTACATAAATTTTAAAAATTCAGATAAGTATTTTTTTTTTAATTTCAGATGAAAACACTTTACATAAATTTTTAAAAATTTAAAAATATCTTATTATTTACTAATTATATCAAATTTCATCCTCAAACTTTTAATATATATATATATATATTATTTTGAATGTTTTTTTCCTTTCAATTTCATTCCTTATAATTTAATTTAATTTAATTTTTATATCAGTTTTGGTCTTTATTTTTATTTTTATGATTATTATTTATTTTTTAATTAAATTTTTTTAACTATTAGATTTTATCCATATTCTTTTGATTATTATTTATTTTCTTTGAAATAATTTATGAAATCATATATATTTTTTAATTTCATCATTTTCAACTTTTTTATCTGTTAAATTTAATTTTTATTATTTTTATTGTTATTTATTTTATTTGAGATAATTTATGAAATTAGGTTTTTTTTCACTTTTATTCTCATTTAACTTTTAAATTTATAAGATTTATTTTTTATTATTTTAATAAACTTAAAAAAATATTAACAATTTATTTTCGAACTCATTTTTTATGATATGACCAAATACTGAAAAATATTTTTCAATTTATTTTTTATGATACTACAAAACATTGAAAAATAATTCATTTTTTAAAAATATATATTTTTAAAAAAACTAATTTTTTTTTTAAAATTACTTTCCAACAATTAAATGATACCTAAAACTATGTTAAATTCTGCTAAGAAGATTAACTTAAAAAACTTATAATTTAAAATTTAATTTAAATTGAATTTAAAGTTAAGTCGATCAAAGATATTAATTCAATAAAATATATCTAATGACTAAACTATAGTTTTAATAATTAAGTTGATCTGGCTAGACTTCATCAAATCAACACAAGATTTATTTTAAAAATAAAAATAAAAATAAAATAATACTATTTTAATAAAAATTATCACTTACTCAAAAGATCCACTAATTAAAATGGTAACTCTGTTTTGTAAATGACAACCTTGGACTCCACAACGATGGTGCTATTTGGAATTGGTTTTTGTTTTTTTTTTAATTTAAAATATTTTTTTTGAATTTTTGACTTTTTTATTTATTAATATTAAAAATAATTTTTAAAAAATAAAAAAATATTATTTTAATATGTTAACGAATAAAAAACTTAAAATCAATGCATTCTACGCTTTCAAAAAGTAGCACGTATCACTCCCAGGAAATTACCTAAGCATTTTACACGGCCATGCATGCACAACTAATTAACCCAAAGCAAAAACCTTAATAAAAGCAAGAACCCATCTCGGGAAACCTACACCCACAAAAAAGTTTCAATCTTTTTTTTTTTTTTCTTTTCAAAATGGTTTCTAAGACTCGTTTAATTGTGTCAGATTTTATAGTTTCTATTATTTGGGTATGGAATGGTGCTTTAATAAAGATGTTTGTGTTCAAGGTTTTGCAGATGGGGCATGATTCAAGAGGGGAATTTATGAGGCAGTCTTTGACAGTTGTGAGCCCCTTCTTTTTTGCTTTCTTGGGTAAGGTTACTAAAGGAGCGTCTTATAATCCTCTTGCTGTTTTGTCTTCTGCTATTTCTGGGGATTTCTCTCAGTTTCTCTTCACCATTGGGACTAGAATACCTGCTCAGGTTAGCTACTCTTTCCCTCTGGGATGTTGACTTGGATTTTTTTCCCTAGATGTGAAGTGGGTTTCATTTTATTGTTTTCTTGTTTGTGTGTGTTTTGGGTTTCAAATAATTGGTTCAGCTCAAATTTTATGTGATTGGGTTACTGGTACAAGTTAATATGCAAAATTTAAGCTTTTCTTTGCCTGATATTTTTTCTCAAAAAAGAAAGGTCAGATGCTATTGGGATCTACATGACTTTTAATATGAGTTCAAATTGGGTTTTTGTTAAGCAAGTTTGTATTGTGGTTGACTTGTGAACTGAAAATGTGATGGATACTTTTAATTACTTTCCATGACTTCTCCTTAGAGAGGATTCAATTTTACTATTCCCTTGGTGAATATTGTACGTAGAGCATTGATCTTGATCTTTTGTTTGCATGTTAGATTGTTGAGTTGAGTGATTTGTTAAAGCTTTTATCTTGTTCTTTGAATTGGGTTGATGTATTGTCCCAGTGAGATCGCTGAGGTTGTATTTTTTCTTGTTAATCCTTATTATATTAGCTTAAATTGGTTTTGGTGCTAATTTCACTTTTAAGAAAGTACATAGTTTGTGGTCCATTAATGCTTGGGATAAGAGTGAAAAATGAGTGGTGATCAGGCACCGAAGAAGCTTTTCTTTAGCTCTTTATACTCACCATCCTGTGGCGATCATGCATTTATTCAATGCATGTGAGCCCATAGAAACCGACAGGCACCCTTATTTTTTTTTAAACACTTATATCCTGTTTAGGGCAACCTGCAGTTTTAGAACAGAGAACTTTCATGAGTTCCATGCACGTGATGTAAAACCTGGATGTATGTTTTGTGATGGAAAACATGGAACTGTTGTGACTTAGAGGATAAAAATTGGTTGAACAAGAACAACCAAATCTTTATTACTGCTGATCTAAGCATTCTGTCAAGGTATTCTCGATGTAACTAGATTGTTTTGCTAGAACAGTTGTCCTTGCCGTTTTTCATGGTTTCATTTACTCGATCATTTACCCAAGTCGTTGTGGTGAACAAAGTTTCTGACTTGAAGACAACTACTTTGGAATACAATGTCTTTTGGTTTATTTTTCTGTAGGTGATTGGATCTATCACAGCGGTTCGGCTTCTTATCGATACCTTTCCTGAGATAGGACGTGGACCACGCTTGAATGTTGACATCCATAAAGGAGCTCTCACAGAAGGATTGCTGGCATTTGGAGTTGTTACCATCTCTCTTGGGCTTGCAAGAAAGATCCCTGGAAGTTTCTTCATGAAGACTTGGATATCAAGTATTTCAAAGTTATCTCTTCACATACTTAAGGATTGCTGACATTTGCCATTGTTACTATCTCTCTTGGGCTTGCAAGAAAGATCCCTGGAAGTTTCTTCATGAAGACTTGGATATCAAGTATTTCAAAGTTATCTCTTCACATACTTGGTTCTGATCTAACGGGCGGTTGTATGAACCCAGCCTCAGTAAGCCATGCTCACATCTTTTAGTTGCAACACAGTGCATGCATCTAAAGTTCGTTTTAGCTTCAAGAAGTTTGCATAGAGATGACCTGAACCTTTTTAAAATCTGTAGGTGATGGGATGGGCTTATGCCCGTGGGGATCATATAACCAAGGAGCACATAGTCGTGTACTGGCTTGCCCCAATACAGGGAGCTCTGCTGGCAGTATGGACATTTAAGTTGCTCTTTCGGCCACAAAAACAAGACGAGAAAGAAAAGTTGACGGGCAAAACAGATTGAAGAAATGCCTCTGAACCTTTCAGTTAAATTGTGTTGTATTAACCAACCTGCAAGCTTTGAAGGGGGCAAATTTATGTAAACCTGAAGAAAATAATAGCGAAGGAATTCACTGTGATCATATTCATTACATGTGAAATATCTGTAGTTATAAGATGCAACTCAGGGGTTAACATGACCCAAGACCCAGATCATAGATTGAGTTGGTTGACTTGCATGTAGTTGGTCAATGAAGGCATGAAAAAACTGTTTCCAAGTAAAATCCGGCATGGGCTAGACTCTGCATTGGCAGGTCTTTAGATTAACTTACTGTTCTGAGATTTATAACTAAAGTGGTGTTGGGAAATGCGGTCCAAATAACGCTTTGTAAAAAGAAGTTGTATTTTTGTTTAGTTTTTATTTTTATATTTTTAAACTGTTTCGATATGTTAATAAAAAAAATAAATTTTATAAAATAAAAATAATAATATTTTAATATATTTTTAAATAAAAAATATTTTGAAAAAAAAAAACATTTACCATAACTAGTTACCATAGCTACAAACATCACCTAAAAAAACATAGCAGCTGCTTTCTTCTGTCCACTATCTGCGTCATTCCTGCCTTCTCTCTACCTTGCTTGCCACACATGTAGGTTTACAATTCTTGGCTCATTGATCATTGCAAATAATGGGAATTTACAAGTCTTGGCTCAATGATCATTGTAAATAACGGGAGTTATTCGCCGTGAATTATTTTGACACTTCAATTTCCAAGTTGAGTATGGACAATTGGCATTAGTTCTTGTCAACAGTACTCTG